AGTATGGTACAAGTAAGCTGACATAGTCGCCAGTTGTCTGTGGGACAGAACCTGCTTGATATTGTGTCTGTATATCTAAGAAATACTTTCTCTAATTACATCTGAAGGAACTAACAGTAGAACGGAAAACGTATTTGCTTTACTATCTTAACATACCTGTTTCATTACTAAACCTTATCAATGTTATGCCTATATTATTTTTATCTATTTATTTATATTTTTATTTATTTATTTATATTCAGCCCAGTTTTGCAAGGGTTATCTACCCTTTTAAAAAATAATATATAGCATATATTACTCGCTAATAATGTATCATTTTATAAGTGAAAGAATTTTTCGAAACAGTTAAGTAGTTTTTAATTTTTTTTTTTTAATGTGTGAAAAGGAAATGGTCATTCCCGCGCTGTCGGTATACGCTGGGGGGCACCAGTGATAGATGATTGGTGAAGATGAAGACAGGTCAGTCGGCCTATCGTGAAAAATTCGATAAGAATTAATCACGATGATTTTCAGTCGGAAATCAGTGGAGGTCTGAGCAATACACCCTGTATTGCTAGCAATGGGGCTGTTAGGACCCATTACGAATAAACCCTTACCTCCTAACAAACAAACAAACAATCAAATCTTTCTTCTTTATAATATAGTATAAATATTTACCAGATCAATGTATTGTACAACAATTGCCTATTTAGATTCTTAAAAAAATTGAAAAGCAACTGTCTAAATAATTCGATATCTTTTACTGATATACTCTTATCATTTATACAAATGAAAGAAAAAAAAATCAATAGCTGTACATAATAATACAAAAAGTATGCCAACAAGCTGCGCACAGACGTACACTATATGACACCGTTGAACCGAGTTATCAACGAAATACTAATTGTAAACGCTCACTTCTTTTATCGTGCCTATTGCTTCTCAAAGATAAGATTACAACAGTCATATGGCACGAACGAGCGCCTCTTTAGTAGCGCATTATAACTCTATCATTGTAAACATTTAATTATGCGATGTTAAACCATTTGTGTGATTTTGAAGTATTGAAAAAACGTGATTGAGTTATGGTGCAGTGTTCTAGTGTTTCGGTCACAGGATATGAGAGATCCGCGCACGTTCGCAGTCATGCATAACGTTAGGCCACTGCAATTTGTTACGGAGTCGGCCGGTGGGCACCGGAATCGTTCGATGTCATTGTCTACACACCACCACAATGGAGCGCCGAGACCGGAGCCTAGATATTCTTTGCAACTTCAGGTGATTTTTCACGAACACATTAGCTATTATGAACCGTGTGTAGAGATAATACGGTCTCTATTTAACCTCAATAGTATTGAAAGTCTTACTGCGAAGTAATTACAAGATTCAATAAAAAGAAATGTAGCAAACAATATTTAATATTATCTAAGTATATCTATACCATATAGATCAATAATAGTGATTTGAGTCCTAAATATCTATCGTGTTTGGGTGTGTCGAGGATAAACAAATATATGTATGTGTTTATGTAGCTTAGAATTTTGCAGAATTGCCTATTATTAAGGCTTAGTTCTATGGTACCAGCAAATAATGGATTACTCCTTCCTTTCCTTGGTGGTATGGGTGGCGTAAGAATTAGCTAAAGGACTTAATGGTCGACAGATAGCAATGTCCCTCTTAAAACATCACCAAAGCCTAACCGGGGTTGCCTATTCGCTTGTCAAGTGTGCAAGTGTGGTAACTATTGGCAGAACCGTCCAGTAGGCTGTGTTCCGCAATTGACAGATAGTTGCTGGTACGATAAATGATAAGGCTTAGATAGGTTCTGATCTGAGCAGATGGCAAGACTTATAGTAGGCATGACAATATGACTAATAAGAATAATAATAATAATAATAATCTCGAGGGTGTTTTTGGTGGATGTCACCATACCGCATGACGAGAACCTCGTGAAAGCCGAAATCGAGAAGAAGCGAAAATATCTCGACCTGCCTCACAAGGTGACCGAAATGTGGGGGTGACATCTATCGAAATTATTCCAATCGTTATGTCGGTGAACGGTCTTATCCCAACCAGTCTGGAACAACATCTCAGACGGTTGGGATTCTGAGGCGGCTTACTCCCGGGAAAGATGCAGAAAGCGGTGCTCTTAGATTCTGCCCGCATTGTACGCCGGTTTCTCTCCCTGGGGCCCTGAACCCCGGCCAACTGTGCTTCTGCCGGGGGTTAGTTGCCATCTCCTCTCCTTTAGAGGGGAGATGAGAATTTTAGTAAAATTTAAAAAATAATAATAATAAACAGATTTATTTCTCTTCACAATTCATTACAGTGAAATACAATGCTTACATTAATCAAATTATGAATATAATTGTGAGAGATTGGTGCCTGAGATAGGTATAAGAATACCTGTATTACAGGTCACCAGGGCCTCACTCCGCAGGGTTACTTACTAAGCACTTGTAATATAATAAGTGAATTCAATGTAATAAATATAATTTATAGGAAGAGATATTTAATTATAATTTAATCTGGAAGTTGTGTGTGTGTGCGTGTGTGATGATATATCCACTAAGTTTGATTGTAGATAAGCATTCATACACAGTGAAGTGAAATGTTTTTACCCGCGAATATTTAGGTCATGAAACAATGTTTCCTGAACGTAAAAGTTTCTTTAAAAAATCGCGTAGTACATTTTCTTAAGAGGTCGAAATACGCACATGCTAGTGTGCTAGACATTTATAGGTCACAATAACTGTTTACGGTCACTAGGGTAGTGTTCTTGTTTGCCACTATTCTGATATAAAACTGATAGTTTCTTAATGAAATCCTATTTTAACCGACTTCAAAGAAGGAGGATTGTATGTTACCTCATAACTCGGTCAGTTATAAACTGATTCGTAATATTCTTTTTTACCTGAAAGAGTGAAAACAGACTTACAGATTGGTCTCATAGATTTTTTTTTAATCTGTGGTCAAGTTTGGTTTTGAAATCAACTGAACCAGTTTTGCCACAAATGAAATCGGTTTTTTTTTATAATAATTCGTAATACGGAAGCATTATTGTATGGGAGTATTCTATTAGTGAAAGTGAACATTTTTCTCAAATGTATGATATCGCCCTCTTTCTCCTTTGAATAATAATTTGATAGTCGGATACTTCGTGTATGTGTGTATGCGTGTGTATGTGTGTGTGTGTGGGGGGGGGGGGGGGGTGATTGTATACAATAATATTGGGTTTCACTGTTACAGCAAAAAACTTTTTAATTGAACTGCTAAAGTCAGTTTACTAATGACACGAGCAAACGTCTTGTTAAATATTACATATAATAGAAACTGTCTCTCCCTCCATAAGTGTATCTCGGGGTGGATAGACTAGAAGGAGACTTTGTACAAAAGTCGATTGCTTGGGTACTTCTGTTCCATTCGTGTTTCTACTGTGAAGCAGTTGTGTTTGCATGACTGTGTTTCGGTTTGAAGGGTGGGATATGGCGTGAATTTACAGGGTACAGAGGAATAACACCTGAGTCCTTAGGAATGGCAACGCATGGAGGGGTATCATGGGCGAAACAGTATACTTTGTTGTGTCCTGCTCATGTCTATAGGCAGAAAAAATAAAGATAGAGAGAATTGAGAGGCAAAGACCACATTTATATACCTAGGTATCACCTTAACTTCAACCTTTTTCAAATCTCGTCTCTTATTCTCAGTAGGAAATATGATATTTTGCTAAATGTTTTCACAAAAGTTGTACAGACATGACTTTTCTTTTAAATACACGTTAGATCTTTATAGTTTGCACTGTACTTGTACGGAACAGACCTAGACAATCCTTTCATTTTCTCATTTATGTAACATCCGAATTATAAATGATCAGTGTCTTACTATCCTACTCGATCCACTTAAACTGTATAAAGATGTTGATTGTTGCATCTCTGTGCATCTTTTACCGAATTTATAATGGATGAGTGGCGTTCCTCCACCGTGCGTTTTTCAAGGCACTTTCTTCCATGCACAACCTCTCTTTGGAATAAACTTCCAGCAACAGTATTTCCGAACCGATACGACTTTGTAACCCTAAAGAAAAGGGCATATTCTTTTTTAAAAGGCCGGCAGCGCACCTGCGATATATCTGGTGTTGTGGGTGATCATGGACGGCGATAGTCACTTATCTATCATCAAGTGAGCTGCACGCTTGTTTGCCTGTGTTGTAAAAAAAAAACTTTCATCTGATTTTTGTTTAAGTTTTAATTAACATAGCATTTCTTATTGTTAAATCAACACTTTTTCAAACCAATGCACTTTGGGGGGAAAGGGATTGTTAGTAATGGGCACTAACTTCCCCATTGTTAGCAATATACCCTATCAAGTCGACCTCCACATGGTTCCCCCTGGAAACCATCGTGGTTAATGTTAGTGCAAATCATCACGATGGGTTGACTGACCTGCTTTCATCGTCACCTATCATCCCTCATTGGTGCCTGCCAGCGTATACCGTTGGAGCAGACGGGGTTACCATTTTATTACCACCCATAAAAAAAACCAATGCACTCTTGCGCTGAATGTGGTCTGCCAGCTTTTATGCGCAATGCACACATTTGAATTAACAGCATATATTTTTTGCTTGTGTGTCCTCACTTAGAAAATTATTTATAGCTAATATACAACACACTTATTCCAAAAATGCGTTATGTAGGTACTATAATCCTTTTATGTTTGCTATCAGCAATCAGCTGGCTGTATGCTTGTTTGTCACGATTGTGGTATAAAAAAGTGTACCTACTAAATGTTTTGAATTTTATTTTCAATTTGTACGAAAGTGACAAAACAATTACATTTGAGTTATATTTATTGGAGATAAAGATTATAGTGATTTTACATAAAAAATGTGGTATAAATATAAAGCTTTATAAACGTTGATCCTAACATACAGGTGATCGATATGTAATCGATAAGACAACAACCTAGGTATAATAGGTGTGTGACTATATCTACTGCGTATGAAAAAAAAAACATCTACAATCTGTTTGACAAACAATTGTCATTCGACTGTCATTTATAACTGTCACTGTGGTTAATTCATCCATCGTACATATTTAGGTTTTTTATTTCTATTTCAATTATTCTATTAGGAAAAATAATAGTTTTGGTGTTTAGATTTTGTACAGGACATTGCAATAAAGATTACTAATGTCAATAAAGTGTGGGACGTACTGTGTGAGATTTCCGTACAATATTGCCTAAGAAACGTGTCACTGTTTTTTACTAGCCGTTGTACATTAAGATATTCTGTAAAAGGAATGTGAATTGTTCCCCATTATATTTGGAAATAAGTGAATTTTCACATGGGTGATGGCTTGGCAGTCGGACACACCTGTAAGTGTAATAAATAATTGTATTAGTAATCCCGTTTGCGCTAAATAAAACATAGTAACTTTCTTAATTAGAAAAACTTATGTCAAACAGGAAGGAAAACATATTTTTTTTAGTTATTGAATAACGTATAAATACGTTTAGTTTTGTAAAATATGCCGTGTCAGTGTTTATTGTTATTCTAATTTTGTCTCAACTAGTGTTAAACATGAGCTTATTAAAAATGAATGAACTGTTTGTATTTGAAGGTTAAGCCTTGAAATAAGATTTGTAGATGGATAACAGAGCCTTATAATTGCATATTATTGACATACAGTTATAGTAAAAAAATATGGAAGATGTAGTATAAAGATGAATCATTATACAATTGTGTATATTGAAGTATGAATAAAGCTGTAATAACTGTGTTCTTTGTTCATTAAGAAAAGTCAGTAAGGAGTCATATATCTATTTCCATCTATATGTAACCTTATAATCTGGATTTATATGGTGTCTGTAATGTATGCATATTTGTAAATAATTGAAATTATACCAGGCACCCTATGTGTTGTTTAATTTTCTTGAAATAAGTTTTAGTAAATAAATTCATTGGTTATAGTACCCCATAATAGTTGTTAGAGTTTTTAACAAGTGGAAAGGCAAAGGGAAAATACTATACAGCTTAATCTAATAATGCAATATATATTGTGTATCATATTTCAATATAAAATTTAGCAAGGTTTTTTATTATTCTGCTAGATTTGTTGGGCTCAGGCATTTGTATATTTGCCATGTACTCTATTCCAAAAAGCTAAATAAGGTTCATTTTATAATTAAACCAGTAAAATGATAGAAATATAATTTTACAAATAATATTGTCATCCTTATTTTACTAACTATGTCATCATATCAGCCTTTAAATGTCCACTGTTGAACTTAGGCCTTCCCTTGGGGAGTTTGGCCAGTAGATGCCACGCTTGGAAGGTGGATTGGCAAGTGCTTGTTTAAATTTAAATTAAATTTTAAATGTTTTAAGAGTAATACTGCTACCTATTCTTTGTCCTCCTTTAGTAGGCTTTTACGACACCCACAGGAAAGGATGGGGTGGCCCATTCTATGCCAGGATCACATAGCTAACTAAATAGATTTACATAAAATGTTAAATGTACTCTAAAATTTATCCATCTCTAGTTACTATATGTTAAGTGTTAGTAGTTAGTAACTATATTTACTTTATTTGCATAATCTCACTTATTGTAATTTTTTTTGACAGTGCTTAAATAAAATAAAATAAATAACCTTTAATCTAAATATGTATTGGAATCTTCTAAAAAATATTATTCTTATAATGATTTTTAAGTACTATTTTTCTTTTAAGAAAACACTATAATATACATAGTATGGTGACACTATCCTTATTTTGAAATTTAAAATGTCCTTGACAAATAAATTTATAGAAACAGCTGTTCACACAAGCTGGCTTTGTGTACCTATTTTACAGTATTTTTTTTAATGCTTAAGTTATTTATCTGATGTGTAGAATTCTGAATTTTATGGGTTAGATAATTATCTCATTAGATTTCAGTTGTCATCTCATTAATGATCTCATCTGAGGTTACAATGGAGACTGGTTTCTCTCGAGACTGTTGACCCCTCACATGATTAGTTATTTAATGTGGAGGACTGATTATATATTTACCAGAGGGAGACTTTGTATAAAAGTCGTTAGCTCAGGTACCTCTATTCCATTTGTGTTTCTATCGTGAAGCAGTTGTATTTGCATGACAGTGTTTCGGTTTGAAGGGATATGGCAGTAAATTTACAGGGTACAGAGGAATAACGTCTGAGCCCTCACGAATGGTAATGCATGGGGGGTATCATGGGTGAAACAGTATACTCTGTTATGTCTATGGTACTGCTCATATATATATATATATATATATATATATAACACTTTATTGAATGGGCCCACATTACATCAAATAAAGAAATATCTGTGAAATCTATGCAACTAGTTCATTGAATTTGAATATTTTAGATTATAAAGTGCATAGGTCTTGTGGTACATATAGAGAGATATTTTATAAATAGGTAGATAGGTAAAGAGATATTTTAAAAATAGTAATATAACACTATCAATCATTTATTCATATCTGTGCTTGGTTGTTTATGCTTCTATATGTTTGCATAAATTCTTTTTCCATTTATTGTTAAGATAAGGATGGTGCCATTCTTAAATAACTAATGCAGTAATTGGCTCATTGAATATACTAGTATATATATATATATATATATATATATATATATATATATATATATATATATATATATATATATACATATCTTACTCTGGTAGTAACCTATACTACATATTTATTTTTTTATTTATATATTTATAAAAATACACTTTAACTTTGCTGAAACAAATTTATAGGGTTTTTTTTAATGGGTGAAAATAGTATGGTAACCTCGCCTGCGCTAACGGGATACTCTGGTGGAACACCAGTGAAGGGTGATAGATAAGAATGAAAACAGGCCAGTTAGCCCATCATGAATTCATCAGGAATTAACCATGATAGTTTCCAGGGCGAACCGCGAGAAGGTCGACTTAGTTGGGTATATTGTTAGCAATGGGATTCTCAGTCTCCATTACTAACAATCCCTTTCCTCCCTATTGTCATCTTACTCTGGTAGTAACCTATATACATTTTTATATTTTTATATTTATAAAAATACACTTTAACTTTGCTGAAACAAATTTATAGGGTTAGCTTACTCTTAATGCTTTTATAACAAACTGTGTGTATTACATACAGTTTGTTATAAAAGCATGAAATTAATGTAATTCTTTGAGAATACCTGAAGGAGAAATGTATGTGCTTTTTTAATGACTTCAAAGAGAAGAATATTCTCTTTCTTATTATTAGTTAGAGTATGTTTATTAAGAGGTGACTAAGAGAACTAATGGTAGAAGGATGGGCGGCAATGTCCCTCCTAAAATATCTTTAAAAGCTTAACTGTTATTGCCAATTCGCCTGGCATGTGTGGCAATTACTGGTAAAACTCATTATTTACAAAAGATGTTTTTTTTATTATACAGCACTATCATACCTACTTGTACAACAATTAGTCCATTACCTTAAGGTCCTCTTGAAAAAATTGCTCCCAGCAATAAGATTGCCTTACTGTACTTATACAATTGTATCGTTGTGTTTGTAAATTGTCTTGCTTATTTCCTATATTGTATAATGCAAATAAAGTATACTCATTCACTAATTCATTCATTATTGGGAAGGCTTATGTTCAGCAGTGGACCATTGACAATTGGAATGATAAATGGACCAACTGATCTACTTCATCTTTGCCCATTATTCTTCACTGTTGCCCTGTCAGCATATACCAATCTGAGCATAGTCTAGGCAGAGTTATCCATTTTATTATTCTATTATTTTGTCATCATTACATATTTTTATCTAAAAAGAAACTTTTTTTTTTTTAATTCTGTTATAAATAGACTGGCCATATGTAAGCTTAAAGTAGAACAAGGCCTGGTTTCATCCTGAAAAGTATCAAGCCTTATCACCTGTCATTGATAAGACTAATGAATACTAAATAAATGACTAGTGTACAAAATACGAGTATGAGGGCAAAAATTTTACAAAGTAAGCATAACCACTCGCATTGTTTACTGAGAAGAATGCTGCTATTTGTAATATGTTTTTTCTAAGTAACAGAAAGATAAAGCAATTTAGAATGAGAGATTTGTATGTTTTTAAAAATAGAAAAAATAAGCATTTACGATCATTGGACACTATTATTTATCACTAACTTTCAGTTGCGTTTTACTGTAAATAAGTGTTCTTTTCCGTCGTATACAGTACCTGCATACCATATATTATAGTGATTATTTCAACAGCACAGCAGCGTCCCTCTTAAAACATCTGTAAAGGCTAACTGCGGTTGCTAATCTGCCTGCCTGCATGGCCACTACTGGCAAAACCCAAAAGGGAGGTTTATGTTCAGCAGTGGACAGTTAAAGCCTGATATGATGATGATGATATAATGATTTAAACAATTTAGGCACCAAAAGGTAACAAACAATCTTACTTTCACATTTGTAATATTAGTAAGGATTGGGGGAAAAGGATTCTTAATAATGGAGATTGAGAATCCCATTGCTAGCAATATACCGAACCAGGTTGACCTCCTCGCGGTTCCCCCTGGAAACTATCATGATTAATTCCTGATGAATTCATCATGATGGGCTAACTGGCCTGTTTTCATCCTCATCGATCACCCTTCACTGGTGCCCCGCCAGCGTATCCCGTTAGCGCAGGCGGGGTTACCATACCATTTTCATCCAATAAAAAAAAATTAGTAAGGATTAGTAATGCTATTAGTAAGAATATATATATATATATATATAATCTAGAGAAAAATATATAGGTATTAATGACTCACCTTGTGCTTTGTTAATGATTTCACAATATCTATTCCTACGAATAGGTATTTAGTACTTATTTTGTAGTATTAGTAATCACCCACTGGTTTTTTTTATGCCTGATGGAAATTGGTAACCGTCGCCTATAGACACGAGCAGATGGGCTGTACCCCAGGATCAGGAGCAGAGCTTTCAGCGATGGGCAAAGACATGCATAGTAAGAGTACATATATGTGTATTTTTTTTATAGGTGAAAATGGAATGGTAACCCCGCCTAAGCTAATGGTATATGCTGGCGGGGCACCAGTGAAGGGTGATTGATGAGAATGAAAACAGGCCAGTTAGCCCATCATGATGAATTCATCAGGAATTAACCATGATAGTTTTCAAGGGAAACCGCGAGGAGGTCGACCTGGTTGGGTATATTGCTAGCAATTGGATTAGTCTCCATTACTAACAATCCCTTTCCCCCCATATGTGTGTATTTTTTTTTTTTTTACAACACAGGGGGCAAACGATCATGCGGCTCACCTGATGGTAAGTGACTACCGCCGCCCATGATCACTCACAACACCAGCGGCATTGCAGGTGTATTATAAGAGACTAGAGTCTCCCTGAAAAGTAAACCTGTTGTAAATGTGAATGTTTAAAAGTATGAATGGATGGGTATTTACCTATCTTTAAAAACTACGGTACAGGTTTGAATTAAATTTGTTACACGGTGTGTTATATACTAACTTACATATAGAATACTTTACTTTACTACTCATTCATTCATGCGGGTAAAGACACGAGATACAGCTAGTCTTAAATACGTCAATAATAGTAGCCGTATCAGAAAGCCTACCATGAAATGTTTTCCTAAATACATGCAATTTAAAAATATTAAAAATGTTACAGTAACGTTCCTTCGCACTTTTATAGTAGGATTTTATGTCGAACGAAATGTTACATTTCATTTACTGGTCCGATTTCGGTATGCACAAAAACACAAAATTGAGTTCGAAAATTAATTTCCGGAATTTAATTTCGTAGTGGACCACCTGTTCTCTAATTTTTTTTGTAATTCCATTGGTAAAACTATTAATTAGTTTCCACTGTGTCAAATACTGTTAATTTTATTTTTTATGATTATTTTTTTTTTATTTGCTAGTTGTTGCCACGCTTGGCAGGCGGTTTGGCGAGCGCAGTTAGGCTTTTAGAGATGTTCTAAAAGGGACGGTGCTGTCTATCCCACTCCTTCCCTTAGTCGCCTCCTATGACCTCCACGGGAAAGGAAGGCTTTTCTACTCCACGGGGAAGGATTGGCTTATTCTATGGCGGGACCACATGGTGAATTACTCTATTAATTTTACTAAATTCAATTTATTTATTTACAGACTGATGAAAACAGCTACCTACTTCGTTTGAAGATAATAGGTGCTACGTCATTGGCCAAAAAAGATATATTCGGTGCTAGGTGAGTATTTTAAATTAGTTTTATATTGTTTAACTAGCTGTTGCCAGCGACTTCGTCCGCGTTTCCGTCGTTTTTCGCAAAATAAGTAGCCTATGTCCTTCCTCACGGTGCAGTGGTTTTGATGTAACAGGCACATTTCCCTTCACTGCTCTGCTTCTATTGATCGTAGCGTGATGAAAAGTATACTATAACCTGCTCAGGAGTATAAAGAATAATTGTACTAAGTTTCGTTAAAATCCGTCGAGTAGTTTTTGTTTCTATAACGAACATACAGACAGACAGACAAAAATTTTACTGATTGCATTTTTGGCATCAGTATCGATCACTAATCACCGCTTGATAGTTATTTTGGAAATATATTTCATGTACAGAATTGACCTCTCTACAGATTTATTATAAGTATAGATTAACTTTTTGCCCTGTATTTCGTTTATATGGTACCGGGTACATAATACTGTATCTTTATTGACTTATTTCAACAAGCTTTGTAAAAAAGGGAGTTTTCAATTCGGTTTTATTTTTTCTTGTCTGTTACCCCATAACTCCGTCAGTTGTAAACTGATTTTTCAAATTCTTTTTTTTATCTGACAGGATGTACTTATAGATGTGTTTCATAGGGATTTTATCAAAATTAAATAATAAATAAATAATAAAAGAAGAAAGAAAGAAAGAAAACATTTATTGCCAACAACAAAAAAGTTACATAAATTATCAATAGAAAAAAAAATTTTATACTTGTTATTGCCAACGTGGCCGCCACTCAGCATGTGCTGCAGCAATTTAATTGCTGCAGCGCTGATATTCTGCGGTGTGGTATATATTGTTGTTCATACATTTATGATTTGATTATTTATTTACATGCATACATACTATATACATGTACACACTTAACAGACAAGAATAATAATAAGAAACTTTATTAACAAATACAAGGTTGCACTGTTACATATTTTTTGCCCTAGCTTAGTTACCAAGTTAGGGTAACCTGTGCCTTGTAAGCTAGTTCCTTCCAACACACAAGAACTAATTGTTCTTATAGTTTGTTTTTTATATCAAAATAACTGGTTTTACTATAACTCGGTTGTTATTTTTAAAACACAATTATTGTAATAAATATATATATTATATACCAGAGGGAGACTTTGTACTAAAGTCCTTCGCTTGGACACCTCTGTCCCATTCGTGTTTCAACCGTGACGCAGTTGTGTTTGCATGGCTGTCTTTCGGTTTGAAGGGTGGGATATGGCAGTGAATTTACAGGGTACAGAGGAATAACACCTGAGTCCTCAGGAATGGCAACGCATTGGGGGGTATCATGGGCGAAACAGTATACTCTGTTATGTCCATGGTACTGCTCATGTCTATAGGCGACGGTTACCACTTTCCATCAGGTGGGCCGTCAGCTTGTAGTAAAAAAAAAAAGATATTTGACGGCAATACGTTCGTAAGATTGTGTGTTATTTAGTGTAAGCTGTTGGTGCACGTTATCGCCGGTTTGTTCCGGAATGATTATCAACTTTCTTTTTGTTCTGTAAACAATAGCTTGGAAATTTTACAGTCATCAAATGATTGGAATGTGTAAGTGCTTAATGTCCGTTCTCTTTTTTTTTATATCACTGAGGTGGCATACAAGCCATACGGCCTACCTGACGGTAAGCGGTTACCGTAGCCTATGAACGCCTGCAATACCAGGGCTATTACGCGCGCGTTGCCGACCCTGAAGAAACCTCTTCACCCCCCTTATGTTTAATAGAGGAATTAATTATATCATAGGGCAATAGAATTATATCTTCTTATTTATAAAAAACGTCAAACCTCTCTTCTCATAAATCTATTTTTAACTCCTGACGCAAAAGAGGGTTGTTATAATTTTGATGTGTTTGTATGCCTGCCTGTGGTAATGTAGCTCCTAAACAAATGGGCCGATTATGATGCGTTTTTTTTTGTTTGAAACCTGAAATGATTGAGATGGTGCTTATGCTTGCAATTTGTGAAGATCTGTTCAGATGTTTCAAGGTCGTCAGCTTGGAGGTTATTTAAAATTTTTAATTTTATATTATAGCTATTGAAGTGTTTTGTAATTTTCTTTTTTACTACTGTGGTGGCAAACGAGCACACGGCCCGCCTGATGGTGAACGGGGTTGCTGTAGTCTATGGACGCCTGTAACACCAGGGATGTCACGCGCGCGTTGCCGACCCTTAGGAAATCTTAATACGCCCTTTTTGAAGAACCCCATGCTGCAGTCTTCTGCATTAATGATATATTAATATCTTTAATGCAGAAGACTGCAGCATGGGGTTATATAATAATGATAGGGACAATAACGGGCCATTGTCTATTAAACAAACATTTATACACAATAGAAGCCACAGACAGCCCTCTATGTCGAGGCTGTTCACGCCAAAGAAACGGTTGCTCACGTAATCCTGGAATGTGAGGCTGTAGCCCATCAACGTTTAGAAATCCTCGGAACGGTGAGGTCGCTCCGTGAGGCCTTGTAAGAACCCAGGAAGCTTCTGCGCTTCTGGACGGAGCTAGGTTGGCTGTACTAGCCACGACTCACACGAACAATGGCCCAAATGAGAGGCTAAGCGCGGAAAATACGAAATATTTATTAATATTTCGCATTATTGTCGGTTTAAATATAGGAATTAACTTTATTAACACGGTCAAAACCGCATGTCACGTTTAGTAGTGCTGTAAAAATGTTTTGATTTAATACGTCCATTGGTCAATTGACCAATTATAAATGATGTTAGACAGGTCACATGATGCGAGTGCACCGCTTTGACTGCTCTCGGTGACTCACCATAGATAATTGTGACGTGTCGCCAGTGCCGTAAAACTGTTTTTTAATCTATGTTAGGTGACGCTAACTCATTAGCTAACGCGAGCACCTAGTTGTAAAACCGGTGTTTTGTCAGTACACATGCACCGGATGAGATCTTTAGGTACAGGTTAAGTGCTTTCATTAGTAGCCAATACGAGTGTGGAATTGTCCAGGGATTAATAACGATTTTCACCACCGTACAACCCGCCACAAACTAAAGTTTCATCCTAATCATCTGGACGAGTGGCGGTCTTCCACCGTGCGTTTTTCAAGGCACTTTCTTCCACGCACAACCATTCTTTGGAATCAACTTCCAGCAGCAGTATTTCCGAACCGATACGACAACATAACCTTCAAGAAAAGAGTATATTCCTTTTTAAAAGGCCGGCAGCACACCTGCAATGCCGTTGGTGTTGTGGGTGATCATGGGCTGCGGTAGTCACTTACCATCAGGTGAGCCGCATGCTCGTTTGCCCCCTGTGTTGTAAAAAAAAAAAAGAATAATAACGAATCTAATTAATTTTAAAATTTGAGTTAATAATTTAATTGTACTCCTATTTTATTTGTGTAATGCATGCAACCAGTGGATCCTTGTATACAATATCTAGAATTTTATCTAAGTGATTTTTTTTTTATAGACAAAATAAATATTGGGGTTAGACGATATATATATATATATATATATATATATATATATATATATATATATATATATATATATATATATATATATATATATATATATATATATATAGATAGATAGATAGATAGATAATTTATTTGCACAACTTACAGCACACAAACAAAAGACACAAAAGCAATGTGAAAAAAGATAAAAAAGATACATGTACAAAAGATTAAAAAAAAAAAATAAAACCAAAAACAAAATCAGAATGCATAATAAAATTTTTCTTCTTCATACGTGTGCCACAGTAATGCAAAATGGCCACAACTCAGCTTTTTATATATATATATATATATATATATATATATATATATATATATATATATATATATATATTGGTGAGTTTTACAGTTTTACTAATGCACTCACCAAAAAACTAAAACATCAAACATTATAATGATACAATATTGAAATAATAATAATAATAATAAATCTACTTATGTTATATACAAAAAATATTAAAAATGCATTTCTGCGTAATTTGTTACCGCCCTGCGAAACTCTGTGGCAGTACAGTGAAAAAAGTCCAGATTGCAACTCGCTACTACCTCATTAAGCAGACGTAGCACTCTCGTGAGTGGCGCCTGATCAGCATGGAATGTCCTGTTGCGTGGTAGGGCAAATATTCCGTGATTACGGTCACGCTTGCTGATTTCTGGGACAGGCATTTAGATCGTTGCCCTTATGTATAACCAACACAGATCTAACTAAAATACTAGAAATTCGATTCCTACGTAGCTATATCACAGCATGTTATTAAATAAACTATTAATTTTGATTTCCAGCGACCCCTATGTGCGTGTGGAATTGCAGAAACTCGACAGCGACGTCACCCTCGAGACGTTTCTTACAAAAACCAAGAAAAAGGTAAGCAATGGCGCGATTTTTTGATTAGTAGCTATTGAAAACTCCAATATGAACTTTGTAAATATTTTATAATCCGGCTCGAAGGACCAAACAGATAAGAGCTAGTGGACTGTAGGGTGTATAAGAGATGAACTCAAAGTTTTTACAAAATATAATTTATTTGTTGCAAATACACGTCCATACGTCCAGAGAGAGATACAGAAGAGAGGGGATACATGGAGTACCTATTTAATTATACTAAATGGTGACGCTGTATTTAAAAAAAACCCTGTTAAGAAACTTTGTTGTAATTTTTTTATTAATGTATGCATTTTTTTATATATACAACTTGGTATGACACATAATCTAATGATGTACCAGATCAAAAGCGATATATTGTCATTTGTGAACATGATCCATACTATAGACATCACTCAATACATTGACATTCGTAGTATATTCCTTATATCTTTCAGATCTGAACGATACGTGCGTTAGTTGTAACTTTAAAAAATTCTAAAACTGCGCACAATTCATTTTTACGCACGAAGCTGAAATAACATGATAGTATTCTAAACTAGCCAATAAGAAATCATTTTAGCGGTTAGGTGGTGCAGCAGTCTCGTGCGTGTCGGCAAGATGGCTTGGCTCCAAAACACGAAAATATATTTAATCTGAAAGAAAAAAAATCTTAGGTCTGAAAAGGTTATGCATTGTCATTCCTGAAGACCCGGCTGTTATGTATCTGCTAATTGCTATATAAGCTGACGGCCCACCTGATGGAAAGTGGTAACCGTCGCCTATAGACATGAGCAGTACCATGGACATAACAGAGTATATTGTTTCACCCATGATACCTCCCATGCGTTGCCATTCCTGAGGACTCAAGTGTTATTCCTCTGTACCCAGTAAATGCACGCCATATCCCACCCATCAAACCGAAATACAGCCATGCAAACACAACTGCTTCACAATTGAAACATGAATGGGACAGAGGTACCCAAGCAATCGACTTTTGTACAAAGTCTCCCTCTGGTAACAGTCGCACTTGGTTTATAAAAAATGTACTTTAGTGCGATGAACGACTTTTTTACTATTTTATTTTTTAATGTATATATAATTTCTTTTTCAGACATTAAATCCAGTATGGAATCAGGAGTTTGTATTTAGGGTAAGTTATTTTCTACCATGAGAAAAGTATATTGCTTTTAAACTATCTGTCACCATACCATTGCCGTTTATAGATAGATCGAAACTCTTTATTGTTTCCTCTAAAATATTACAACAGTAAACTTATTATAAATATAAACAATTACAAGAAATAATCACAATGAGAAAACAATAGATGACCTTATCGCTAAGAGCGATCTCTTCCAGGCAACCTTTGGATGGAGAGGAGTAATTATAAACAGTTTGGTGGGAGGCGCGATGGGAATTCTATTATTTTTAACACGTTGAGCGTCACGCGTATTTCTACAGCAATCCCGTTTAGGCCACGCGCGCCGCTTCGAAGCGCTGGTACTGCAGGAGCTGGTGTTTCCTATCGTAGTAGAAGGTAGTTTACGTTTGGAACGTGATTTCTATAAATTTTAAATAAATTTTCTGTAATTCCGTAAAATAGTGTAAAATTTTATAGTTCTCATGTTACACGCTGTTAGACACCGATGTCTGACGCGGCCTAAACGGAAAGTCTAGTGTCAGCCACCGATGGCTGACATGGCGCTCAACGTGTTAAATATGGAGATGTGATACATGTAATAATGTAAATATATATATCTCTATTCATACTAAAAGGGTTTAACACGATTATTGTTTTTTTTTTGTATGTATTTGTATGTTACTTGATATTTTTTATTACTCTGACTCGATTTTGATAATTATTTTACTTTAATTTCGTTACGAGTGATACTATTGTTTTTTCTTGAGGAACAAAGTCTATCTAATCTTTTATTGTGTCGAATTAGTTTAAAAAAAGAAGAGTCTTGTCAATAATAACTACGATTGAATTAATAAATACGTTTTTGTGTGTGTATTTGTGCCGCTGGCGTGTACATGTGTGCGTGAGTGTGTGCGTGTGTGCGTGAGCGTGTGTGTGTATATGAGCGTGTATGTGTACGTGTGCATAGGCGCTTGTGCGCGTGTGTGTCCCCCGCTCGTAACACAGTTGTGAATCACGTTCAATAATAAGGATTCTATAAAAAAAATATGCAACTTAGAATGGCAAACAAGCTGACGGCCCACGTGATGGAAAGTGGTAACCGTCGCCTATAGACATGAGCAGTACCACGGACATAACAGAGTATACTGTTTCACCCATGATACCCCCCATGCGTTGCCATTCCTGAGGACTCAGGTGTTATTTCACTGTCATATCCCACCCTTCAAACGAAAACACAGCCATGCAAACACAATTGCTTCGCTGTTGAAACATGAATGGGACAGAGGTGTCCGAGCAAATGATTTTTGTACAAAGTCTATTTCTGGTAAGTTCGAAACTAGTCGGGCGGCACCGAACTAAATAGCGCTCATAACTTTAGTTCGTTTAGCGCATATGTACTCTCAGACATGCCTTTGGGTAGCTTCGTTCATATTCCCTGGGATGCATACCAGACAATTCTGGACTGGGCACAAACACTTCTACTATTAAATATTAAACAATTTTGTTTAAGTTGCTTCGCAAAATCAACTTATACTAATACTCACTTAAATTGACGTTGCAGGTGAACCCCCGCGAGCACAAGCTGCTGATCCAGGTGTTCGACGAGAACCGGCTGACGCGTGACGACTTCCTCGGCATGGTGGAGCTGGCGCTGGGCGCCGTGCCCACCGAGAGCGCGGCCGCCGCCCGCCCGCCGCCCCTCAAGTACCCGCTGCGCCCGCGCAGGTCCGTGTAAGTGGTGCATGGACTGTTCTAATACCCTCCCCCCTCCGCCCCCACACCTGCCCCCTGGTGGAAAACGGATTGTTACTGGCAAAACCTTCCCGTATGTGGGAGGCCTATGATCAGCAGTGGTCAGTGAACAGCTGATATGATGATGATGATGATAAGGGGGTTGACTTAACCCTTCTTTGCATAACGCTGGAAATTTCCATTATAACATTGAATGCCCAAAAATTATATAAAAGAACATGTTCACTTTAAGTTGATCGTGTCTGGATACCTTTTTATTGTCCATTGCAGAAAAAAAAACATAGCTGTCAAATTTATTTCTTTAACAATTTTTCCTTTATATTTGAACATGAATTATATCACCGTGATTTATTTCACCAATAAAAAAATCATGCAAAGAAGGGTTAACATGAAATTAGTTTCAAGACAGTAAATTCATAAACAGAGAAACAAGTAGTGTAATTATAGATAGGTAACAAGTCTCGGGTTCAATTCTCAGCTGGATTAATCTGAGAAATTTCTAGATCTAGATTTTTGTTTTCTGCTATATTGTAACATAGAGGTATTATGGTTGTTTGCGATGAGGTAATTAATGGGATTATATGGTGTTTACATATTTTTTTTTCTTTTAATTTTATAATGCATGTATGCAATAATAAATGTATTGAACTTTTATTGTAATTTATTAATTTTAATTTCGTTTATAACTGTTGTTGTTGTTTCTTGTTGTATGGTGTGTGTTGTAATAATTTTGTTGTTGTAGCAACAAGATATTTTTTTGTTATTGTGGGTTTTATACTCACAATAACAAATTGTAATTTAATTTGTAATCGTAGTTTATGTCACAATAATTTTTTTTTTATGTAACTTAGAATGGCAAACAAGCTGACGGCCCAACTGATGGAAAGTGGTAACTGTCGCCTATAGACATGAGCAGTACCGTGTACATAACAGAGTATACTGTTTTGCCCATGATACTCCACACGCGTTGCTATTAATGAGGAATGAGGTGTTATGACTCTGTACCCTGTAATTTCATTACCATATCCCACTCTTCAAACCGGAAGGAGGAAAGGGATTGTTAATAATGAAGTCCGACTGCCCCCATTACTAACAATACTGGGTATATCAGGTCGACTTCCATGTGGTTCCCCCTGGAAACCATTGTGGCTAATGTTAGTTAACATTCGTCACGATGTACTAACTGACCTGCTTCATCCTCACCTATCACCCTTCACTGGTGCCCCGCCGGTGTATACCGATAGCGCAGGCGGGGTTACCATTCCATTATCATCCATTAATTTAAAAAAAACCCTTCAAACCGTAGTGCAGCCATGCAAACACAACAGTTTCACTGCAGATACATAAATGGGATAGAGGTACCCAAGCAAACGACTTTTGGACAAAGTACTCTCTGGTAAATTAAAAATCCATCTGTTATCTGGTAAAGGGTGATCGATGAGAATGAAAACAGGCCAGGTAGCCCATCATGATGAATTCATAAGGAATTCACCATGATAGTTTCCAGGGGGAACCGCGAAGAGGTCGACCTGGCTGGCTGCTAGCAATGGGATTCTTAGTCTCCATTACTGGCAATCCCTTTCCCGATATAATTCAACGATAAATTAGTCATGATGGTTTCCAGGGGGAACCGCGTGGAGGTCGACTTGATCGGGTATATATTGATAGCAATGGAGACTTTTTTTTAATGCATGAGTAATGGCATGGTAACCTCGCCTGCGCTAACGGTATACGCTGGCGGGGCACCAGTGAGGGATGATAGGTGAATAATGAAAAAAGGCAGGTCAGTCAGCCCATCGTGATGAATACACCTGGAACTCAGCACGATGGTTTCCAGGGGAGCCGCGTGAAGGTCGACCTGACAGGGTATATTGCTAGCAATGGGACTGGTAGTCCGCATTACTAACGATCCCTTCCCCCCAGCAATGGGGACTAACCTCCCAATTACTAACAGTCCCTTTCCCCCCGCCACACGAGTGGTAGTAGTAATATATACGATGGATGTCCAGCGCGCGGTCTCGGGTCCGCGGCCATATCGAGGTGTACGCGGCGCTGGTGGGGCGGGTGGGCGAGCCGGGCGTGGCGGCGGCCGCCGAGCGCGGCGACGACTGGGAGCTGGTGCACGCCGCGCCCGCCGCCGGCGAGGTTCACTCGGTCAGTACCTCTCCTTCATACGTTCACACCACATACGGCCGCTCGACTATTTCGCAACTAGCTTCTGTCACCCACTCTGACTCGCCTACCTCGCTTTGGAATTATAATTTTCATTTGTATAAATAAAGTCCGTTACTGGCTGTATGCATAAGAGACTTAGCATGTTGTGTTTTTAAGAGCTGGGGATTTTTGTATAAAATAAATAAATATTGTATATAAGCTTTAAGTTGCTAATCCGTACGCATGGATTTCAGTTGTGGAAACATCAATGATGATAAAGGTTTACCCTTTATGTGGGGCATCAAGATGAAACATACATGAGATTTTTAACTCATGTATTTAACCGTTTTATTCCAGGCCCTTATATTATATAAATAGATTGTCTCCCATACATATGCTTCGAGAAAATCGACTCAACTTTTTCATACAATTTTTCGTGATAAATAGTTATGAGTGATTCCTTTATTTTGTCTTATAAATTCTGCATCTTTTTAATGCGTAAATATTCATTTTATTTATTAAATAACTAAATATAGATACGTCAAGTCAATAATAAAAAAAACGAGTCAGCTAATTTGACAATTAGCTGACAAAAAGTTGACCCGTTTTTGAGGCTCGACGCTCTATTTATATAATCTAAGCCGAGGCCATATTTTTGCCCTCCTGCCATATTCTTCACCCCCTTATACGACATGACATCTTGCCATTCCTTTATCTGTCCCATATAGTCGTTTCTTTTCCTCCATCATTTGTTTTCATCTGCTATTAGTATATACATAAAAGCTATATAAAAAAGTATCGACTATTCAAGAACATTCTTTATGTATTATTTTCTTTAAGAACTTTTTTTTATATGGTAATAAAAGGTTGTGTTCCATAAAAAAAAAATCGACTCCAATTATAATAAAATCAGTTATTTTGATTTCGAAATTAAACTACTCAACAGATATTGTCATTTGACAAAATGTCTATGGGATTAATCTGTAAGTATATCCTTTTAAATAAAATTAAAAAAGAATCCTCCAAATCGGTTGACAATTGACAAGGTTATGAGGTAATAAACAAAAAAAAGCAGTTGTGTTTGCATGGCTGTGTTTCGGTTTGAAGGGTGGGATATGGCGTGAATTTACTGGGTACAAAGGAATAACACCCGAGTCCTCAGGAATGGCAACGCATGGGGGGTATCATTGGCGAAACAGTATACTCTGTTATGTCCATGGTACTGCTCATGTCTATAGGCGACGGTTACCACTTTCCATCAGGTGGGTCGTCAGCTTGTTTGCCATTCTAAGTTAAAAAAAACCGATTTGGGAATCTCCTTCTCTTTGAAGTCGGTTGATAACAAAAATAATATATTAACCCTAAACCTATTTTAATTATTACATTGTTTCGTCGTTTTCTTTCAAATTGGGAATTTAACGTGAAAGAAAGAGACAAAACAGTTCAATAGATAAAATAGTTTTTTTTTTATACAACTTAGAATGGCAAACAAGCTGACGGCCCACCTGATGTAAAGTGGTAACCGTCGCCTATAAACATGAGCAGTACCATGGACATAACAGAGTATACTGTTTCGCCCATGATACCCCCCATGCGTTGCCATTCCTGAGGACTCGGGTGTTATTCCTCTGTACCCTGTAAATTCACGCCATATCTCACCCTTCAAACCGAAACACAGCAATGCAAACACAACTGCTTCACGGTAGAAACACGAATGGGACAGAGGTACCCAAGCAAATTACTTTTGTACAAAGTCTCCCTCTATATTTTTATAAATATGGGGTTTGTCTATTACGCTTCTTCTTTATCTATGCTCACGTCATTTATGCAGCTTCAACGCTTATTTATGTTCAATTATCAAGTATTGTAGTAGAGATTACGGTATGCGCCAATCTAATTTAGACTTTGCTTCCTTCATTTTTCCGTTGCATTTCGTTCGTATTGGTACAGTCTGCAACAAAAGTGTACGCTGATCACTTGACTATCATATTCTAGCACTATTTATTATTATTATTACAGCCGTTAACTGCCCACTGTTGAACATAAGCCTTTCCCATAATTCGCCCACGATACCCCCTATGCGTTGCCATTCCTGAGAACTTGGGCGTTATTCCTCTGTACCTTGTAAATTCACTGCCATATCCCACCCTTCAAACTGAAACACAGCCATGCAAACACAACTGCTTTACAGTTGAAACACGAATGGGACAGAGGTGTCCAAGCAAACGACTTTTGTACAATGTCTCCCTCTGCTGTTGCCGCTGTGGTAAATGTAACACTCGACATGCACATTTTTCACAGTTCTTGTTTGTATCCAACTTAGTAGGATGATGTACCACTACATTAATTATTAAGTAGATAGATAGATAGATACTCTTTATTGTTTCCTCCAAAATATGACAATAGTAAACTTATTATAAATATAAATAATTACAAGAAATAATCACAATGAGAAAACAATGGGCAACCTTATTGCTAAGAGCGATCTCTTCCAGGCAACCTTTGGATGGAGAGGAAACAATTTGGTGGGAGGCACGATGAAAAGTTCTGTTAGTTCTAAATATGGGAGATGTGATACATATAATAATATAAATATTATCCCTACTCATTATTACTTACTTAAAACTGTATTTTACTATGTTTGCGTTGGGTTAGTAAATTCCGTCTGTGTTGATTTTTTCAAAATTTTAAATATTGACAGTTCTTAGTAATATTATCTGTAGATTTAAGTGTAAAGAGAATGTAATTTTTTTTTTATAGACTTAAAGTAGATTTTTGAGAATTTCAAATTTGAAAATATTTATTAACCTAAAAAGTATTCATAATCCTCACTAATAGTATATGCGAATGTATGTTTGTTTGTTACTTCTTGGCGTCATACTCACTCAATTATCACGTAGTATTTTGCGATGGGAAAGACATAGACTAATCTTTATTCCCGTCAATCATAATATTCCGGTCACGCGGACACCCCGGTCGAAGTCGCGGATAAGAACTAGTATTTTCATATTTCAAACTTTTATGTTCCTTGGGGAAAGTCCTCCAATTTCACTAATCTCATCGCTGTATCGCTTCGGTACACCCGTTGCTTTAATGTGCTCGGACGTGTATGAGCCTGTGTGATGTGTGGTGAGCTACTTTTGTTGCCGTCTGTACCGACACTTAGTGTAGTATGGGCACCAGGTGCGGACGGTACCATCCGCCATCGGCTGCGATTGGGAGCTGATCGACGCTTCGGACTTGGTACTGCTCTTTGATTATTTATTTAGCGTTAGCTATTTCGGGCTCTATTCTCTTTATACAACGGTATATTTTTCATTGCAATCTATATTCAAATGTGTGTTCCATATTCAAATTAAGAATTATTTTTAATTTCTTTTTTTTTATTTATCTCATCTGAAGTCTTATATATAAATGGCCAGTATAGTGGTACTATAATTTTAATAATGTAATAAGTGTCCATAAGTCTCTTAAAAAAAGTTTAACTAATATAAACTTCCTCCTATGATGTGCAAACGTACACGTCATGTATAAACTAATGAAGGACATTTTTTTTTTTATTAATTTTATTACCATAGTTGCATTGCACATTATGATAAAATATCTTACAAATATTACAAAATACAACATAATAATAAAATTCCTAATTCAATTGTATTTTTCATAACTCTGTCAGTTCTATTTACAGTTTATACAACTTAGAATGGCAAACAAGCTGACGGCCCACCTGATGGAAAGTGGTAACCGTCGCCTATAGACATGAGCAGTACCATGGACATAACAGAGTATACTGTTACGCCCATGATACCCCCCATGCGTTGCCATTCCTGAGGACTCAGGTGTTATTCATCCGTACCCAGTAAATTCACGCCATATCCCACCCTTCAAACCGAAACAGCCATGCAAACACAACTGCTTCACGGTTGAAACACGGATGGGACAGAGGTACACAAGCAATCGACTTTTGTACAGTCTCCTTCTGGTGAAATGAAAGGTTTTGCTACAATAAATTGTTTTTTTTTTGTTGGACACAATCCTTTTTTTTTTTTATAGATATTTCAATTACATAAAATACTAGTGTCCCAATTTGGCTTTCTTGGGGTGAATAGAAATTTGGAAAATTATTATTTTGTAACCTATGTGACTTGCTTATGATGTCTCATTCTAACAGGTGAAAGGATTAAAAATTGTTTGATTAGTTTATGAGTTTATCATAACAAACAAACAAACGTATATTTTTTGTTTATTAACACATTTTAATAACAATTCAGTTTTATATGATACCTACGTGTAAATATTTTAAGAAGAAATGATAAGAAATTACTCTACATGTCTTGCCTTTTGTCTTCTGCGTAATTTTCTCTTATATTTTTTTTTAATATAGGAATTAATCGACTCGTCATCATACCAGCCTTTAACTGTCCACTGCTGAGCATAAGCCTCCCCCTTGGGAGGTTTTGCCAGTAGTTGCCACGCTTGGCAAGCGGATTGGCAACCGCAGTTAGGCTTTAGATATGTTTTAAGAGGGACGCTGCTGTCTATTTCTCGCCCTCCCTTAGTCGTCTCTTATGGCCCATGGGAAAGTAATGGCCTAACCAGTCCATGAAATTTGGCATGGATGGAAAAGGACGCTACTGTTTTTGCCGGTCAATGAATATATCCTGGTCGCACGAACAAAGTCGCGGGTAAAAGCTAGTTTATAATATTTTTTTTATTGATGATAATGAAATGGTAACCCCGCCCGCGCTAACGGTATACACTGGCGGGGCACCAGTGAGGGATGATAGGTGAGGATGAAAAAAAGTATTTAAGTGCCTCTCAATTGTCTAGCATCCACAGTATAGGCTCTGTTTAGTTTGGGATTAGATGGCGCTCTGAAATGTTTCCAGTGGTATTTATATATTTTTTTTGGAGTAAAAATTCTTACCAAAACTGAAATGAATAACGCATAACGCCTTCTTTGCATAACGGTGGAAATTTCCATCATAACATTGAATGCCTAAAACTTATATGAAAGATCAAGTTCACTTTAAGTTGATCGTGTCTGGATACCTTTTTAATGTCCATTGCAGAAAAAAAAAACATAGCTGTCAAATTTATTTTTTTTAATAATTTTTCGTTTAATTTTAAACATGAATTACATCACTTTGATTTATTTTACCAATAAAAAAAAATCATGCAAAAAAAGGGTTAAGTTTTTGGGAATATAGACTGTATAGAGAGGTGTAATAAGGTTGTAATTTCATCAGACGGTGGTGGGTGATCCGTTACCGCCCGGCTGGGAGGAGCGACAGGACGGCAACGGGCGGACTTACTACGTGAACCACATCGAGCGGTCCACGCAGTGGGAGCGGCCTACATTCACGTGAGCATTCATATTTTTTTTTATACCACATTATATGACAAACAAGCTGACGGTTTATCAGGTGGGAAGTGGCCATGTTTAGGCCAACGCCATAATCGACGATTTTCGGTCGTCGATCATCCGCGATGGAACGCTGATATATAAGTTGACAGTGTACCAGGTGGTAAGTGGTTACGTTTAGGCTTTTTTTTTACAATACAGTGGGCAAACGGGCGTGCGGCTCACCTGATGGTAAGTGACTACCGCTGCCCATGATCGCCCAAAACACCTACGGCATTGCAGGTGTGCTGCCGGCCTTTTAAAAAGGAATGTGCTCTTTTCTTGAAGGTTATGTTGTCGTATCGGTTCGGAAATACTGCTGCTGAAAGTTGATTCCAAAGAGTGGTTGTGCGTGCAAGAAAGTGCCTTGAAAAACGCATGGTGGAAGACTGCCACTCGTCCAGATGATTGGGATAAAATTTTAGTTTATGGCGGGTTGTACGGTGGTGAAAATCAGCACCAGGTATCAATCCGAATTAGACTGACGACATTATCGACGATCTTCGGTCGCCGATCATCCGCGACGGAATGCTAATATATCAAGTTGCATAATTTGCTACTTTCGGTCTCAGATAGTTGTTTGTATCGTCAATCATAAATAAAAAAATATATCAATTTAAAGAATTACATATAAAAATGCTATAAAATAACCGATCAGTTGAATTGGCTGAAACTTTATGAAGCTATTAGGTACGTAATTATCATTTAAGTATATAATACAATAGAAGACCGGATTCAAGAAGATTTCCAATGGGAATGATATATGGGAACTACATAGTTAGAAGCAGGCAACGCCACGGGAAACGGCTAGTGTCAAACACAAACTAGTACTGTAAATTTGACTCACTAATCCATATTTGTAAATCACCGTGTCTTGGATCACCCTTATGGACTCCCGCGATACAGGTTCGCCTAGTGCGGGATACAATGTACTCACATGGTAAATTTCTTGTATTTAATAAATAAATAAATGCTCGTGAATACATAAATATGATTGATGTTCATCAGCCGCAACCAAAGTGTGGAGTCGCAAGCTGAACGTATGGAGACGGCGGTCACCGAGTTCCAGCGGCGGTTCCACATCTCTGCGGACGAGGAGCACTCTAGTCCTGCGTCCTCGCAGCACCAGGTAATATATACTCTATATGGTAAAGCATAGGGCACATTTTGCATTGTTCGACTGACGGTTTCGAATTTATCTATATAGGTAATTTAAAATAGGAATGCATATTTTATCACCATTGGGTGTAACGCTCCAGTCATCAAATATTGGACTTTATCACTAGGGTTAATAAGTTGCAATTTGGAACTTTACTAACTTTAATCCAAATATGTGATTTCAATATTGTTAAAGAGGACAAACATTTATTTTGCTAATTAGATCCAATACAATTGCGGATTGTCGACATTTGTCTATGGAAATTTTGGATTGATGATTGAAACTGATTGATAATTCAGATTGATTAATAACTGACGTTGATTGATCACTGGAAGTGATTGATATGTGGGCGTAATAACAGGGGATTGATTGATAATTGAGACTGATATATGACTGATATTGATTGATAAACTATTTAGAGTATTAAAGTGTTTATTCAAACAAGAGAATGCATGTGCAATGTTGTGCCAAAATTTAAAAAGTTAAAATCTACATATCTACTTTTACTATTATAGTTTATTGTTACTTTTTTTTTTTTAATTCGAAGAATTAGTATTTGAAAAGATAAATCAGAACATTTGAATGTTGAAAAAGTGGTTTGATAAATAAAGTTTCTATGATAAAGGGATAAAGGTTTAAATTTGTTTATTTACTGTACATGGTATAAATGTAGATGTCGCATGCATTCTAGATTTTAACAATACTCGACTATTATATCAATGGTATTTGAGTATGTTGCATTTTATCACTATTTTAAACATGTGTGGAATAAATAAATAAATATTTGTTCAAGTTTTTTTTTTATAGACAAGAATAATAAAGATCTATCTAGAATTTTTAATAATTAGACGTATTTATATGTAAATAAGCATATTGTTATTATATGTATTTATAGTGACAAAGAAATGTAAAAAAAAAAAAGTTTTTATAATTTTGTTATTTATTCCACACACCGTAAGGTTTAGTTTAGATTTTCCTAAATTTAGCTTTGAAGCAATTTTTTTTTATTTGGTACATTCTAGATACGTGTCAGAAGAATAAACAGTTGAAATGCATGATCTATGGTCATAGATGTTTCTAGTTTACAAGTATTGCATGTAAATATTGAGTACCTTGTCACAGTAATTTTAAATCAATGAATATTTAAAAATCGAATGTAACAGAGTATAGATTCGGCTATGACAAGGTGCCAAATGATTATAAAGGGAGATAATTACGAATATTTGGAGTCGTAACTGACGGGTTGTCAAGTTATGCAGAGATGGGGACACTCCACTCGACACCATCTTCACCGTCACACGTAACTAACATCGAAGCCATTTCACTGTGTTGTGTGCTCACTCGATATTTTGTTTAGGGCGTCCTAGTATATTTAAAGTTCATTAACCATGAAACAATCTTTGTAGTAGGACTTAATATTAATAGTATCGTTTATCTAACGTTTTTAATAAATGCTATTATCATCCATTATAACCCCGTAAACCCGCCTGCGCTAACGCTATACGCTGGCGGGGCACCAGTGGGGGATGATAGGTGAGAATGAAAAGGCAGGTCTTTTTTTAATGGATGATAATGGAACGGTAACCCCGTCTGCGATAGCAGTATACGCTGGCGGGGCACCAGTGAGGGATGATAAGTGTGGATGATAGCAGATCAGTAAGCCCATCGTGATAAATATACTTGGAATTCAGTACGATGGTTTCCAGGGGGAAGCACTTGGAGGTTGACCTGATAGGGATATTGCGAGCAATGGGATTGGCCCGCATTACTAACAATCCCTTTCCCCCCTGTGAGTGAATAGTGATCTGGTTGCCAATTCCGTCAATAAATTTAAATATAAGTAACACAAAACTGAGAAGTAAAGAGTTAAGGTTTTATAAATATTATTAAATTAAATTCGATATTTTTAAATAACTTTTTCTTCAACAATTGGCGACATTTGTGAGTGCATAAGCGAAGTGAGTACACAACAAATCATTATTGACAATCATTGCAATCATGCAAACACAAATAATAGGGCCGGTGTCCACACGAGTAATCAAACCATAGACATCCATTGTGTTGTCCTCACTGTCATAGACAATTTACGCACACAGTTGTCTAATCACACCCGAATACACTGTTGTAAGATCTTTTCGTAACGATTTCTTTGCAATGAAATTAAAAAAAAAAGTTTTTTATTGCACAAGCAAAATCTGTATAAGGACAAAAGTTTACCATTGGCCTCTACAGATTAGAAAAAGTTTTGGTTATTATAAAAAAAAAAAAAAAAACAGTATGCTAAAGAAAGATCTTATTTGAGTGGAACTGCAAACTTATATGTGCAGCCGTTAGAAGTGACCGGAAACGCGACCAAATCAAGTCTGCAGACATAAGTTTGTGGCGCATAATATAAAAATGAGAACATTTATCATAACAGGAGGAACTAAGCAATAGAAGCGGCGCGACAAATTCCACAGAGCCAACGCCCTATTCGACACCAGTACGTTCGCCAAAACTAGCGACAGAGGGCGCGGAACGTAACGACGGCGAATCTGATAACGTTGCATCGACTAGTTTAAGTGAAACCCACTGTGATAGTAATTTAAGGGACAATTGTGAAGAGGACGACGTTGTGTGCGCCAACGAAGGTGCAGCGCGACTGCAAGATATAGCAGAGAACAACGAAACTGATGATGCTCAAGCCGAGGATGCTAGTCAAGAAGTCGAAGCGGTACAGGCTGCAGACGCAGAGCAAAGTAATGATAATGATGCCAACGGGGAGAGTCAGACTGAGAGAGAGGCAGAAACTAGTGCAGAACAGAATGAGATGGCAACAGAGAACGAACACTCCGAGAATGCGGAGGAGTTTGCAGAGGAATCGTTGACATTCGATGAGAATCATTTCAGTACGCCGACAGGGGGCGCTAGTCCGACGAGCTCGCGGCGTAGGTCGGCGAGCTCAGGATCCGAGGTAAGACCGAGGCGTGGGGCGTGACGTGGATTTACATATCATCGCTTATCATATAGTAACTATCATATCTTAGGGCGTAGGTATACTTTACTATTTTTTTTTTTCTATTTATTAATATTTTTATCCTTTGCTTTAACCCTTTCCAAATTATGCCTTCGACTGACAGATTGACAGACAAACATTGTAAATATGCGTAGATAAAGTAGTCAGTATTGTTTTAATGTATTTTTTTTTTAATATTTATATTTGATTTTGTTTGTATTATTAAATTAATTTTTGGTTAATTTTAAAGAATGATAGAAGCTTGTCTGTGCGTAACATGAGTTTACATGATTTCACATGATCGATAATCGATGCTCACGTGAAGTCAGTATTCAATTAGTCTTACAAAGCAATGAAAAATCCAAAATCCAAATTACTTGTATAATTTTTTTTTGTGGGGTATCATGGGCAAAACAGTATACTCTGTTTTGTCCATGGTACTGCTCATGTCTATAGGCGACGTTTACCACTTTCCATCAGGTGGGCCGTCAGCTTGTTTGCCATTCTAAGTTGTATAAAGAAAAATTTAGCTATGGAAACATAACAGACAGACTAACAGACAACCTTTCTTTTTTATGTAGTTGATTGTTTTTTTTTGCACATTTTAAAGACTGTTCTGGATTGGTTTATGTTTTTTGAACATTAATTACTCTGTATAAACTATGAAAACATTGTATCCTTAACGCATGTCTAGTGTAAATATAATAGCCCCAATTGCTTAGGGCATCCGCATACTTAATACACGCGACTAATCGTCGTCGACAAACACGCAAATCTTACCTTCTATGCAAACGGTGAATAAATCTATTTGTTGCGTTCATGCTATTACACACGTGTGACAGAATAAGACAGCAATGACGTTTTTTTTTAGTGTAGTAGCGTAAACGTTTCTACAGATAGATTTGTTTATCACACGTGTAGACGGCCCATCATGCTTTTAAAACACTTTTAAGTTCAGAATTGTCATCAAAATTCACTATTTTCGTTTAATTGCTTTCACGTATGTACATTTTTGCTTGCAACACACATAAAAACGGGTTGTCGTAATCGCGTCACAGCCTGCACGGCCATTTGGAGTGCTTTGGGAAATTGTCTATGAGGACTTGTGAGGTACAACATGCCACTGTGATGTCCATAGTGCTTCCGTCTCTAACATGCGTTCGGCGGCTTACAGCCCACTGTAACTTGTGAATGTCCCAATCTGCGTTTTGTCTCACTGACACGTCGCTGTCGTCAGTTTGCAGCGACCCTTAGGTTACTATACACTTTTTGTAATGTACCCTCCGTTTCTAATTTGTACCTATGTACTGTAGATTCGTTTCCTAGTTTACGCTTGTCCAATATTTGTTTCAGTTTAATCCTAAGAACAAGGAATTACGTAGAAGGAATGATAAAATAAAATCTGTAAATCATACGGTTGCTTCCTTTCTTCTTATGCAAATATAATTAGTAAAAAGAGGACGAAAGATACACGATCAGTTGCTATTTTTCTCAATTCATAGCAGGCTAGCGTATAGAAAATGTTTGATAAGTTAATTATTTGTCAATGACAAATTTTACATTACTGGATTATATATTGGACACAGTTTATGCAGTAAGTATGCAAGCAGGTTGTATCTGAATTTGGTAGGGTTATACGGCCGTATAACATTTTCTATACACTAGCCTGTCATGAATTGACATTTTTATCACTCTTTCTATGTAATTCCTTGTTCTTAGGTTCAGTCCAATTATGTTTGTTTACGTCTTTTAATCGACAGTTGCCTTCAGATGAATGGCAAATGAATGTATGCATAGATACGGTTACAAATCAAACATTGCTGTCTCGCTCTATCAGCGTGTGGTAACGTAAACGTATCTAGAATAGATTCGATTGTCATTTGTCTAGTGGGATAGGTGTGAAGCATGTGTAGTAAAATATTTGGACAAATAATATATATATATAGATAGATAAATTCTTTATTTGCAAGAGATACACAAAAATTATGACATTTAACAAAAAAGTTATTTACATGCAATTTTTTATATAACATAATATATGAAAATGTTATATGTGTACCGCAGTGATGGCAGTATCTCAGTGGGTTGTTTGCTTAATAAGCAAACCACTGGTTACTGCCATAAAAACAGTTTTATAAAAAAGGAAGTTTTATATTTATCATATAATAATATGGTGGTATATATCTCTTTGCATGATAGAATACGAAACGAGGATATCCGCAAAAGAACCAAAATAACCGACATAGCCCAAAGGATATGCAAGCTGAAGTGGCAATGGGCTGATCACATAGCTCGAAGAACTGACACTAGATGGAGTGACGACCTGAAATGCATTTCAGGGAGTCAGTGGATGCAGGTGGCTCAGGAGCTTTCTTTATGGCAGTCTATGGGGGAGGCTTATGGCTAGCAGTGGACGGATAATGGCAGAAATGAATGAATATATTTCCCTAGAGGGAGACTTTGTACAAAAGTCCTTTGTTTGGGTTTGTCATATTCGTGTTTCAATCGTGAAGTAGTCGTGTTTGCATGGCTGTGTTTCGGTTTGAAGGGTGGGATATGGCAGTGAATGTACGGGATACAGAGGAATAACATATTTGTCCTCAGAAATAGCAACGCATGGGGGGTATCATGGGCGAAACAGTATACTCTGTTATGTCCATGGTACTGCTCATGTTTATAGGAATGGCAAACAAGTTGACGGCCCACTTGATGAAAAGTGGTAACCGTCACCTATAAACATGAGCAGTACCATAAACATAACAGAGTATACTGTTTTACCCATGATACCCCCCATGCGTTGCCATTCCTGAGGACTCAGGTATTATTCCTCTGTACCCTGTAAATCCACGCCATATCCCACCATTCACAGCGAAACACAGCCATGCAAACACAACTGCTTCACGGTTGAAACAAATGGGACCGAGGTATCCAAGCAAACGACTTTTGTACAAAGTCTCCCTCTGGTGAAAATTAGGCATTTAAAATGACGACAATATCAAAATTTTCCTGCGCGCGCAACCACGCATGCGCCCTGTTAATCACTATTTATTTTGCTAAAAATTTTCCAAAGCTTTGAGGTTTATTACGCGGGTATACGCCACAGTTTCATGTTGTAAACACTCATAGAAAAGTCTCAATTGTATTAGAAAATTAAACTATTTGGTTTTTTTTTTTTAATTTATAATACATAAGAGCTATTAGAAGCCGGTAGTTTAGTTTCCACGCGGTAGATGGCGTGTACAGTATGCTCGATGAGGTTCGATACAGGTTGAAAAATTTGCTAACTGCCATTCACTCAGCTTAAACCGCCAGATACGGGTTCGAATCCTGCGGTATCGAAATGTGGGAATATTAAATTTTTCAACCTGAACTAGTTTTTGTTTGCTCAATTTATGCTCAGTTGTTTTGTCCCGCTTGTGGCGTTTTTTTTGTAACTTGTAGTTTTTGGCATGTGATTGTGTTTTTTTTTTTTTATTATTAAGAGGTCCACCTCGCTTAACTACTGCAAATTTTTTGCATATCCACTGTTATTGTTTTTTGACCGACTGAAAAAAGTTTAGTTTGGTAGATTAACTTTTTTTATTATTACCGGTGGGTCTCTTTTTAATTTGTGTAGTATCTAAGAGGAATTTTAAATAATAAAATTAATAAATTTAAAACTAGATCAATAGTAATTATTGGTTTTATGATGATTATTTTTGAAATATTAAAATTTAATTAAATTTCAAGACAATGCAGATTTCACATGAATTTACACAAGGATCGATGAAATTTTGAATAGGTTCCTTGTACACCGTGATCATTCGTAAAGGATATGGGAATTTATACGGAATCAATCCTCAAAGACGAACAAATCTGTCGAGAGATACGTTATCGCCACCACATGCATGAAATGGAACGAGACAGCGCCATTATCTAGTTTTTTTTTCTCATACGGTAATGATTCTATTGTTATAACGTTTCTATCGAGAGATTTGTTTGACACTTGTTGCCCCTGGTTGTGGCAAAAGTAGAGGGGAGGGGGGTTGTTATGCGTACTGCGGGTGAAACAGAGGAACTCGACTAGTCTGTGATAAAGTACTTTAAATTTCTTAAATTTTGTTAAATTTGGACATAAATCTTGATGTTATTTCGTTTCTTAATTCGTATAATTTTCATATGTGGATTTGTTTTAAAAAAACTAATAAATTGTTTACGATTCGCCTTATTTGTAAATAAGTCGTAACCTAAGAGCTAGCAATAATTAGATTACACTGTATATAGATAAGTATGCATTAATTTGATGTGATTTAAATGTAAATATGAAATTATTGCTACACGCAAGATGTTCAGTGATTGTAAATTATAGATATTAATAATTAGGAAAAGGTTTGAGAGGTTTGTTTGTATCGAAGCATTTGGCGTTCCATTGTTTCCGCCTACCCTAATGGGAGACAGGCGTGACAGATATGTACGTATGTGTGTATGTATATATATATATTTTTAAATGGATGATAATGGAATGGTAACCCCACCCGCGCTATCGGTGTACACCGGCGCGGCACCAGTGAAGGATGATAGATGAGGATGAAGCAGGTCAGTTAGTTCATCGTGACGAATTCAACAAGAATTGTTCACGATGGTTTCCAGGGGGAACCACGTGGAGGTCGACCTGATAGGGCCTGATATTGCTAGCAATGTCGAACTCCATTGCTAACAATCCCTTTCCCCCCAGTAATTATATATTATAACGACTTACTACTGCTCGACCACAAATCCATCGACATATTCGGTACAAAATATTTGATATTTAGGAAGAACTTGTTTTCTATTTTGTAGAATACGATTGGAAATATGTTTTATATATATATATATATATATATATATATATATATATATATATATATATAGTTTTATCTTTTATATATTTATATAACATATTAAGTATTTTCTTTATTTTATTTGTTTGCTCTATTTGAATTACTCAAGCTGTGCACATAATGTGATTGGATTATAACCTAGCCGAATCACAAATGTAACTATTATTTAAGTTTTTTATAATAATATAAAATAAAATAAAAAAAAGTAATTTAAAATCTAATATTTAAAGTAAAAATGTAAAAGTACTGCAGAAAAATATGGATATTAGGAATTTTATTTCTAGGAGATTTATATTTCTTTCATATATAATATATAGAAATTAAAGAGAGGTATATGGGATACACATAACAGACAGCTGTTTTGTGCATAACTAACTCCTAATAATATTCTAGTAATTTGATAAAATAATACAGTATTTGTATATTTTAGATGCGTCTTTATTCTATACTTAATGCAGTAAAATGTAATAAAAAAAAAAAAGTAAATAAATTAAAAATAATACTAGCCAAACATGACACTAAATTTGTAATAAAATGGGGAAAAAAGAAAAATGTATATCAAAATGAAATAAATCAAGTTCACCCATTCTCAAGATTACGAACGAAGTGTATTTCCTTTTTTGTTCCATACTCTTGTGACCCATCAAATGGTTTTTTTTTATTACTTTAAAAGTTACTTGAATTTGAATATCACTGAACATCGTGTATAAGCGAATCACATCAAAGCCACAGCAATATAGACCGTATCTTTCAATTGATAAGGTTTATATTAGCACGTATGTGAAGGTTGTGTGTTTGGTAGGACGAGACCGACGGGTCGACCGAGAGCACGCGCAGCAGCAGCGCGAGTAGTACGCAGAGTCAGAATCTACCGAACGCTGATGGCAAGTATATGTTTCTCTTATAAAATCTAATTTGTAACATAAAACTTTGTAGAGAATTATTGTTCTTATTTACTTTTACACGCAGACACGCGTACACACACGCTTACGGACATACACGTATGAGAATGCATGCGTGTGCGTGTGGATACACGCACTCACACACGCCCATGCTCACGCAGTGCACACACACACACGCACACACGTCATCTTTAAAATAGATTTTTTCGTGTTTGTGTGTGAATACAATAATGTGTGTATACAATAATATTTGTAAGTTATTTTCACTGTATAGCGCCCTCTGTTAACAGTTTTAATAATTATCTTATTCATATTAGGATTACCACCGGGATGGACGATGCAGAAAGCGCCTAACGGCAGGATATTCTTCATCGACCACAACCAGAAAACAACGACGTGGATAGACCCCAGAACAGGTGCTTTATTCATTAATATGGTCGTGACTCCAATAATGTATTACTGGTTGTGAAAGTGGAAGGACCAGGGAGACTAAACTAGTCTCCCTGATCTTACAATTGTCTATTTAAGAAGAAATTATGTCTTCAGTACTTCATACCAGTTATCTGTCCACTGCTGAACATAGGTCTCTCCCATAGACTATCATAGAGAACAGGGCCATTCTTAATGGCAGTTTATCATTGGGGGGATACCAGTACTTGCCATATTTGGCAACCGGCTTGACAGCCGCAGTTGGGTTTTTGGTTATGTTTTAAGAGGGATGCTGTTACCCATCTTTTTTTATACAACTTAGAATGGCAAACAAGCTGACGGCCCACCTGATGGAAAGTGGTATTCGTCGCCTATAGATATGAGCAGTACCATGGACATAACAGAGTGTACTGTTTCGCCCATGATACACTGCTTCACGGTTAAAACACGAATGCGACAGAGGTACCCAAGCAATCGACTTTTGTACAAAGTCTCCCTCTGGGTAGATGCATGTAACTTGATGCTGTTTTAATTTTTAATTATCGGCGACTCCCTCGACCGTTAAGTTCTTTTAGTTGCCTCTTATGGTACTTACGTGAAAGGAAGGGTCGGCCTATTCTATGCGAATTATTTTTTATGCTGATGAATAAATAAAAGGTATCACAGATAAGTGGTCTTTATACAGGGTGCGCATCAAGCTTGCCGAGTGCGGCGGCGGCGACGGCCGGTGCTGAAGCGGACGAATTGGGAGCGCTGCCAGAAGGCTGGGAGGAGAGGGTACACACCGACGGCAGGATCTTCTTCATCGACCACAGTGAGTGCATCCCTGTGTATACAGGGTGTCTCGAATTAGCTAGTCGAATTAGTTTTCAAAATTATAAGTGTTAGACTCGAAAAGAAGTTATTTATGGTATACTAGCTTTAACCCGCGACTTCGTCCGCGTGACCGGGATATGTTTATTGACTGAAATAAAAAGTAGCCTACAACCTTCTTCATCCCGGCTTCTTCATCTTCTTCTTCATGGCCGGCAGCACACCTGCAATGCCGCTGGTGTTGTGGGTGACCATGGGCGGCGGTAGTCACTTACCATCAGGTGAGCCGCATGCTCGTTTGCCCCCTGTGTTGTAAAAAAAATCCCATATAGTTAAATTTTGGTGTTACGTCATATTTTAAATCAAATAAAATAACAATGATTTGCTTTTGAGGTCTATACACATGCACAATGTAATTTTTTATAAATTTTACGTCAACGTTTCTTAAGCGACAACAATGCGTGCGTGATATCTCTGATGTTACAGGCGTCCATAGATTACGGTAACCCCGTTTACTATCAGACGGGCCGTATGCTTGTTTGCCACCATAGTGGTATAAAGAAATACTTACTGTATTTATTTAAATACACTATTGGGACTTAATGAGGTAAAAATTATTGCTGGGGGTTTTGTCAGTAGTTGCCACGATTGACAAGCGGATTGGCAACCACAGTCAGGCTTTAGAGGTATTTTAAGAGGGACGCTGCTGCCCATCCCTCGTTCTCCCGTAGTCGGCTCCACGATATCCACGGGATAGGAAGAGGTAGACTGTTCTATGCCAGGACCACACGGTCAAATCTAAGTTTCGTCATCATCATAATTTCAGCCATTATCCGTCCACTGCTGGACGTAAGCCTCCCCCATAGACCGCCATAAAGAACGCTCCTGAGCCACCTGCATCCACTGACTCCCTGTAATGCATTTCAGGTCGTCACTTTGTCTTGTGGGGGATCGTCCTCCACTGCGTTTAAATCTTAAGTTTATTTAAACAAAAATATTTAATCGTTTCTTTCTTTCATCCTTTCCAGACACGCGTACAACCCAGTGGGAGGATCCGCGGCTATCAAACCCTCAAATCGCGGGTCCCGCCGTGCCGTACTCGCGAGACTATAAGCGCAAATATGAGTACCTGAAGAGCCAGCTACGCAAGCCGGTGTGTATACTTTTTTTTTAATGGGTGATAATGGAATGGTAACCCCGCCTGCGCTATCGGTATACGCTGGCGGGGCACCAGTGAGGGATGATAGGTGAGAATGAAAAAGCAAGTTAGTTAGCCCATCGTGATGAATACACCAGGAATTCAGCACGATGGTTTCCAGGGGGATCATGTGGAGGTCGATCTTTTTTGGCATATTGTTAACAGTGAGACTGGTAGTCCGCATTACTAACAATCCTGTACTCTGTTATGTCCATGGTACTGCTCATGTGTATAGGCGACGGTTACCACTTTCCATCAGGTGGGCCGTCAGCTTGTTTGCCATTCTAAGTTGCATAAAAAAAAATGTAAATAAATATCTTATGTAAATACAACAGAGCAACGTGCCCAACAAGTTCGAGATCAAAGTGCGTCGTAACTCGATACTGGAGGACTCATACCGCATAATCACCTCCGTGAACCGCATCGAACTGCTGAAGACCAAGCTGTGGGTGGAGTTCGAGTCGGAAGTGGGACTAGGTGAGTTTGTATCTGATATACCCTTTTTTTTACAACACAGGGGGCAAACGAGTATGCAGCTCATCTGATGGTAAGTCGGATTGGATGCCAATGCAGTCTTGGTACCAGTCGGTACCAAGACTGCATTGGCACACTGTCTACTACTTCCTATTCTAGATTACGCTGATTCCTGTTATGTTAATCTTACAGAAGATCAATTAAATAAACTTGAGCGACTTCAGAACATATGTATACGGTTTATATTTAATCTTCGCAAATATGACCACATTTCTGATTTCCGCAATCAACTCAAGTGGCTTCCAATTCGCCTTCGCAGGAACTGGCACATCCTATCTCTTCTTTACACTATTCTTTTTCATCCTTCAACTCCCGATTACCTCAAAATGTGCTTTGAGTTTCATGTCGATTCTCAGGGTCGTACATTGCGCAGCGCGAGATCCCTTCGTTTAGTAACTCCTATTCATTCTTCTAAATTCTATTCCTATTCTTTCACTATCCAAGCTATCCGTCTCTGGAACTCCTTACCTCTTTCTATTAGATCAGCGCAATCTCTTGCCTCGTTCAAGAGGCAGGTAAAATCTCATTTCCTATCTCTCTAATTTGCTTTGACGATTACTATGTGTGGTTTATCTTGATCTATTTAGTATATTTATGTTTATGTATTATTATTTATATTATATATGTATGTTTATGTATTATTATTTTTTATTATATATGTATGTTTATTTAGGTTATGTAATCTTATTTTTATATTTAGAATTTTTTGCATTTTGTCTGATTCCTTTTATGCATTTACTGTGTCTGATTTGCGCCATCTACCTTTCTCTCTGTACTTATCCATTCTTTATGCCAGGTTGTCTGTAAGAGATTGCTTGTAGCGATAAGGCCGCCTTTTGTATATGCACGTTCTGTATAAATACTCCTTGTATACATCTTTACTGTGCGCAATAAAGAGTTTATTATTATTATTATTATTATTAAGTGACTACCGCCACCCATGATCACCTACAACACCTACGGCATTGCAGGTGCGCTGCCGGCCTTTTAAAAAGGAATATGCTCTTTTCTTGAAGGTTATGTTGTCGTATCGGTTCGGAAATACTGCTGCTGAAAGTTGATTCCAAAGAGTGGTTGTGCGTGGAAGAAAGTGCCTTGAAAAACGCACGGTGGAAGACCGCCACTCGTCCAGATGATTGGGATGAAACTTTAGTTTGTGCCGGAGATGCAACATCTCTGCGCAGTTTCAGTGGGTCAAGTCGGACAGTAAGGCGTTGACTATCGATAATTTGAGCCGCCTCAATGCAACCATGAGTTATGGAAATTGTCGATGGTACCACGCTTACAAACGGACCTTAAATCTTAGGAGAAATTTTGTTCACTCTGCATGTTCTACCGCTTTTTTTAATGGGTAATAATGGTATGGTAACCCCGTCTGCGCTATCGGTATACACTGGCGGGGCACCAGTGATAGATGACTGATGAGGATGAAAGCAGGTCATTTACCGCATTACCGCAATACAGAAATCTTTAGACGCGAATTTAGGTCGAAATTGGGGCAATTTTTTTAATCCGCGAATATTGAAAACGGAAATAAAGGAAGCGTGAATAAAAAGCTTTTATTGTATAAAAAAAAATCATTTATTATAATTTTTTATTATTTATTTATTTACACTTTATTGCACCAAGTAACAAGAGAAATAACAAATACAGTAAATATTAATGAGAAGTGATACAAAAGGCGGCCTTATCGCTAAGCAATCTCTTCCAGACAACCTTTGGGTAGAGGACATTGAGAAAAAGACAAAGAGTAGGTGGCGCACTATTATATAAATATTATCATATACAAACATATATACACATACATATATAATATATACACAATTAAATATATACATAACATACATACATACATACACATACATATATAATATATACACAAATTAAATATATACATAACATACACATACTTAACAGCACACATACAACAGAAAAAGAAAATGACGAAGGAAAACGAAGTGAGAACACAAGAAAATAGTACTAAAGTGAGAGGTAGTAAGATTTAACAGAGGTTTTGAAGCTAGTAAGAGTTTGAGCGCACCGAATAGAGGTGTGCTGCCATTTACAAATCGTATCACGTCTCGTATCGTATCTAATTATCCGCATTTGCAGAAAACATAACAATGTATGCAAGGTGCTTGATATTTTCCAACAATCCTTGCAATGTTACATTAAGGCTGCCAATTTGTTACTTTAAATTTATAGCCGTTATTCCTTTAATGTATATAATATCGAATGTTGTGCAGAGCAGTTATTGGAGTGCAAATTTAATGCCGTTCTATGTAATATTTATTTTATTAATGCATTAATTTGTAATCTGTTGCCTTGCTATAAATAAATAAATGAATGGGTTTATAAAAAAAAATCCAATTATGATTAATGTACAACGATGTATAAGTGATTTTGTCAAATCAATTTGTACAGATTACGGCGGTCTGGCGCGCGAGTGGTTCTTCCTGCTGTCCAAGGAGATGTTCAACCCTTACTACGGGTTGTTCGAGTACTCGGCGATGGACAACTACACGCTGCAGATCAACCCGAACAGCGGCGTCTGTAACGAGGAACACCTGAGCTACTTCAAGTTCATCGGTCGCGTAGCCGGCATGGCGGTCTACCATGGGAAATTGCTCGACGGTACGTTTACACGTTTGCAAGGGTCCTTGCCATGTTTTTTCAGCTGCAATTGCATTCCAATGTGCGGTAGAATTATAAAAAAAAATGACTTGAAAGGTAGATAATTTTAACATAAATAATACTTCTTTAAAAAAAAAAGAGAATGAGGGAGTGGTAGAGAGGAAAGGAAATGTGGGGAAATGTGTGATGGTATGTTTAGCTATTTTTTTAAGGGTTTATATTAATATAATTATATCAGAATGAAGGAGAGAAGTAGAAAAGAAAGGGGAATGAGAAAAAAAGAGAGAAAAAGAGAGGGAATGTTAGAGTAAGAAAAAAATAGTTATGATCCAAATGATGCCACAATTAAGATATATAATTTATTTGCATTACTTACAACACACAAATTATAACAGACACATAAAAATATACATAAAAAAAAAGCGAGATAAGAGAAATGATTAAAATAAAACACATTTACAATTGTAATTTTCCTGATGTTGCGGCTGCCTATGGGCGTCCTAATCACTTATTATTGAGCCACATGTCGTTTGCCCTCTATGTTATTTAAAAAATAAATAAAAACATATGCACATAGTTATATCTAGTAATGTTTCTCTATTCACGTGATGTGCTTCCTTTACTCCATCCAATTCTTTAATCGTGCCATCACTTGCAGCATTCTTCATCCGTCCATTCTACAAAATGATGCTGAGCAAGCCCATAGAGCTGCAGGACATGGAGTCGGTCGACTTGGAGTACTATAACTCGCTCATATACATCAAGGTATGTCTGAAACAATATAGTTGCTGACTTAACAATCCACGGTTGGGGGGAGGGATTGTTACCAGACCCATTGCTAGCAATATGCCTTGTCAAGTCGACCACCACGTGGTCCCCCCTGGAAACGATCGTGCTGAATGCTAGGTGTATTCATCACGATGGGCTAACTGAGCTGCCTTTTCATTCTCACCTATTACCCCGCCAGTGTATACCGTTAGCACAGACGGGGTTTCCATTCCATTATCATCCATTAAAAAAAAATCGCCGTTTCGCCACTAATACCTAACTAACATTTATAAAAACTTATTTTAATTCGTTTATCTATAATATATTTTTTATTGCACCTAAACAATACATGCGACGATTAGTTTAACAACTTGTTAGCAAGGGAGGACTTATCTCTGAAAGAGATCTCTTCCAGCCAACCCAGTGTAGTTAGAGAGAAAATAATTATTCCATGTTATGAAGAGAAATAATTTTTACATCAATACATTACGGGTACTTATTTTATTTGTTTAAATAAAACATAACCCGTGTTAATAGCTGATGATGTAGCTTTTTTTTAGCTTATTATTGAAAGAATATTGAAATTTGGTTAAGTATTTTTTGTGGTTTTTTTTTTATACAACTTAGAATGGCAAACAAGCTGACGGCCCACCTGATGGAAAGTGGTAACCGTCGCCTATAGACATGAGCAGTACCATGGACATAACAGAAGATACTGTTTCACCCATGATACCCCCCCATGCGTTGCCATTCCTGAGGACTCAGGAGATATTCCTCTGTACCCAGTAAATTCGCGCTATATCCCACCCTTCAAACCGAAACACAGCCATGTAAACACAGCTGCTGTACGGTTGAAACACGAATGGGACAGAGGTACCCAAGCAATCGACTTTTATATAAAGTCTCCCTCTGGTAAGATAAATATATAAATAAACAAAAACTCAAATCTTTCCTCTTTATAATATTAGAGTTTATATAATTACTTGTTCGACACATTTGTAGTATAAAAAGTAAAATACGGGTATAAATTGTAGTTAGATCAACAAAACGGTATATTAAGGTTTCTTCAGGGTCGGCAACGCGCACGTGACACCCCTAGTGTTGCAGGCGTCCATAGGTTACAGTGACTGTTTACCATGAGACGGGCTGTATGCTCGTTTCCTACCTTCGTGGTATAAAAAAAGAATTATTTTGAATACACACTCGGTACTTAACGCGATGAAAAAACCTTTGCAGGTAAATAGTACTTACATGCCTGCTTCTTAAATGTCGAAATATATTTAAAACTAGCGACCCGTCCCTGCATCGCACGGGTGGACATTTTTACATTTTAAAAAGTGGCCATTTAGGCTGCGCACGCGACGGAAGCTGAAAAATGCAGTAATTTCTCCCGTTTTCCCAACATTTCCCTTCACTGCCCTGCTCTTATTGATCGTAGCGTGATGAAATGTATACTATAACCTGTCCAGGAGTATGAAGAATAATTGTACTAAGTTTTATTAAAATCCGTCTAGTAGTTTTTGTTTCTATAACGAACATACAGACAGACAGACAAAAAATTTACTGATTGCATTTTTGGCATCAGTATCGATCACTAATCACCCCTTGATAGTTGTTTTGGAAATATATTTCATGTACAGAATTGACCTCTCTACAGATTTATTATAAGTATGGATTAATTAAAAAAACAGTTGTTTGTTAGTTTTTAACAAATATGTACCTATACGTTTATACTTCAGGAAAATGATCCGTCGGAATTGTACCTAACGTTCTCGGTGGACGAGGAACAATTCGGCAAGACCATACAGAGGGACCTCAAACCAGGAGGTGCTAACATACCAGTCGATGAAGAGAACAAGGATGAGTATATCAAGTGAGTTTTTTTTTTTAATTTACCGTCATCAGTCCATCGTTGGAGGTGGTGTCTCACAGGGCACTCTATTTAGCCCACTCCATGTTTTTTTTTTAGTTGGTACACAATTGCGCAGAAAGCTGTCTTTGGTATGAACTGAAATAATTTATTAGTGATAAAATATTTATTTTCCATCAATGTTTATTTATTCCAAAATGTTCCAAGATAATTAAAGACATACTCAGAAGAAATCGTACATACAAAAGGAATAACACCTGAGTCCTCAGGAATGGCAACGCATGGGGGGTATCATGGGCGAAACAGTATACTCTGTTATGTCCATGGTACTGCTCATGTCTATAGGCGACGGTTACCACTTCCCATCAGGTGGCCCGTCAGCTTGTTTGCCATTCTAAGTTGCATAAAAAAATGTATAAACGCTTTAAATGAATGTAACATTTCGTGTCAGGCTGGTGATCCAATGGCGGTTCGTCAGTAGAGTCCAAGAGCAGATGTCATCGTTCCTCGAAGGGTTCGGGGCGCTGGTGCCACTGAACCTGCTGAAGATCTTCGACGAGCACGAACTGGAGCTGTTGCTGTGTGGAATCCAGCATATAGACGTGCGAGATTGGCGCGCGAACACATTGTACAAGGGAGACTATCATGCCAATCATATAGTGGTCCAATGGTTCTGGAGGGTGAGTACTTACTACTAAAATTATTAAATCTCTGAAAGCGTATTTTTTTTCGCAACAATAAAACACATAGCTTTTTTTTCAACGGATGATAATGAAATGGTGGTAGTAGGTAGGTATTATATTTATTTATAGTATATGTATTTATGTAATATTTTATTATATATCTTAATATTATATTTACCAGAGGGAGACTGTACAAGAGTCGATTGCTTGGGTACCTCTGTCCTCTTCCGTGTTTCAACCGTGAAGCACTTGTGTTTGCATGGCTGTGTTTCGGTTTGAAGGGTGGGATATGGCGTGAATTTACTGGGTACAGAAGAATGACACCTGAGTCCTCAGAAATGGCAATGCATGGGGGGTATCATGGGCGAAGAGTATACTCTGTTATGTCCATGGTACTGCTCATGTCTATAGGCGACGGTTACTACTTTCTATCAGGTGGGCCGTCAGCTTGTTTACCATTCTAAGGTGTCTAGCAATATATTCTGTCAGGTCGACCTCCACGTGGTCCCCCCTTGGAAACCATTGTACTGAATTCCTAGTGTACTCATCATGATCGGCCAAATGACCTACGTTTTCATTCTCACCTATCATCATTCACTGGTGCTCCGCCAGTGTATACCGTTAGCACAGGCTGGACTACCACTCCATTGTCATCCATTAAAAAAAATATGATAGGTTGTAAAACTTGTGGTAGTAATAATGGTGGCCACTTTTTGAATGCTGGCCGTCACACACATACTAATGGTAATATTTGTGCGCGTGCGCAGGTAGTGCTGTCGTTTTCGAACGAGATGCGGTCGCGGCTGCTACAGTTCGTGACGGGTACGTCGCGGGTGCCCATGAACGGCTTCAAGGAGCTGTACGGCTCCAACGGGCCGCAGCTCTTCACCATCGAGCGCTGGGGCAGCCCCGACAACTACCCCAGGGCGCACACCTGGTGAGTATCACCTATTTCACATATATTGAGTATTCTCTAACTGCTCAGTTATCTCTGCTCAAGACATCGAACTTGCTATGCAATAAATATTTGCTCACAAATCCGTGCATACTCAGTAGTCCGCCCCTGTCAAGGGAAAAAGGGATTATTAGTAATGCGGACCATCAGTCCCATTGCTAGCAATATACCCTGTTAGGTCGACCACCATGCGGTCAGCCTGGAAACCGTCGTGCTGAATTTATTTATTTATTTATATAACTCTTTATTTCACCGTAAATAAAAATATACAATGACAAGTGAATAATTCAAATGAAATACAGTAACATAAATACAGATTGAAATATACACATAAAGGTACAAAAGGCGGTCTTATCGATAGGGCAATCTCTTACAGACAATCTTTGTTTAGGTTTGCTTGGTGGCGCAAGAGTAAATTAATAATTTTTCGTGCATAAAATACAAAAAAATATTATGCACAAAAATATCAAATACACATATACACATACAAAATACATAAACATACACATATAAATACATATATAGCACACACAAGGAAATATGACAAATCTAGTCAAAAAAATTACAAAGGAGTGGAAAAGAGTAACTACAGTGAAAGAAAATGTGATTTGACTTGTCCTTTAAACGAAGGATTGAGCATTCCGTATAGACGGTGGCAGCGAGTTCCATAGGCGCACTGCCTGAACGGAAAAGAAACGAAAAAAATTAAATACAAAAAATTCCTGGTGTATTTTTCACGATGGGCTAACTGATCTGCCTTTTTATCCTTACCTAACATCCCTCACTGGTGCCCCGCCAGCGTATAGCGTTAGCGCAGACGGGGTTACCATTTCTTTGCCAATTATTAAAAAAAAAAGTTCGCCCCTCTCTATTACGCAGCATCTTTATGTAAGTTCGTATCTTAAAACCCACTGTTTGTTTCCAGTTTCAATCGAATCGACCTACCTCCATACGAGAGTTATCAGCAGCTTCGCGAGAAGCTAGTCAAAGCGATCGAGGGCTCCCAGGGCTTCGCCGGCGTCGACTGAGCCCCGCACTGGCACGCGCGGTGTCGGACCGCCCCACGTGCGTATACTGTACGCCTACGTTCTATTGTGATATGTTTACTTGCAGAGTATTGCGTTTACAGCGTAGATGAATACGCTACTATGCATATAGTTTTAAGGATCAAATTTGAACGCCGCAAAGTGTGGACTGTACGTTTGAGTGTGGCAAATGTACTTGTATGTACGATGTGACATTGTAATGATGTACAGTCGCATGCATTAATATATTGACAAGATATAGTGTCAATATACACTTTGTAATTGATTAGTTATTGAAATATGCAGGGCGCGACATTCGATCAGTCATTTGAGGTCGGTGAAATATGTTTTTCTCCTCCAGTGATATTTATCACTCATGCCTGTTTTATTTCTATTATTCCACCCATTTTTTCTTTAGTCCTTAGCTGTATTTTTTTAACAGAAACTGTACAGTGATTTGAACTCTATCTTATACAAAAAAAGCATGAAAATTCATCAGCGCCATTTGTTCGTTTTTATATTGTATCGTAGCTCGATTTTATCGTCGCGATATAATACTAAAGCAAAATGTATGGAACTGTATGGAGATGCCTTTAAGTTTTCGTAATCATGAATGTGCATGGTATGATATCGTAGATGAGTAAATAAAAGTGTTTGCATACAATTGCATACATTGCTTTGCATATTTGCTTCTCATTTATATCGTGATAATGAAATTGTATCGTGCTACATAAAATATATCGTTACGATAAAATACAGTGCTGTACCGTGATACGATAAATTGCAACATCTAAAGGCTACGATATCTGCTTACTATCAGGCGGGTCGTATATTTGTTTGCTGTGTAGTAATAAATGCGATATCCAAAGATGGTATTCAGATAATATTATAGTTTTTTGAGTATAAAATGTAGTGGTTTTATACACACACAGATAATTACAGGATAATTTCAAGGTACAGAGGCATAACACCTGAGTCCTCAGGAATGGCAACGCATGGGGTGTATCATGGGCGAAACAGTATACTCTGTTATGTCCATGGTACTGCTCATGTCTATAGGCGACGGTTACCACTTTCTATCAGGTAGACCATCGGATTATTTGCCGCTTTAAGTTACTTCAAAAAATAAATAAAAAAAGGTAGATACTCTTTATTGTTTCCTTCAAAAGAGTATAGTAGTAAACTTAAATAAAAACATAGTAATTTGCGATAATGAATTTTTTTTTTATAAAATTTATAGTATATAGGATCCATGTTGTTTAGTGATATTCAGGTACACTATTAACCATTATCACAGCAGTAAAATCGAAAATATCCACTTACTGTTACACCTTGCATAACAGCTGAATTTCTATGATTAAGTACCTTCTAAGGTGTTAATATATTATTGCATGTCACTGTACTTAATTTTTTTTTCAACTAAAATGTCTTGGGAACTGTTAAAATTATAAATAAAATATAATTATGTTATTTTAAGCGAACATACTGACGGTTTATGTTGTGTAATGTGATTGTATTGTACGCATTTTTTACGCGGTAAATATCGGACGCCATTTTGTTTACATTATGTCCGATGGATTAGTTCAGAAATGTCTAGAAATAATTGGAAAGAGAAAGAAATTTAATTTTACACGTTATAAGACGAGATATTTATCGTATCCTTTCCTCTTTTTAAACCTTCGATGTACAATACATTGTAGATTTTTTTTTCTCTTATTTAAAAATCATATAAAACAATGGCCGCGTAAACTGACATTTCAATTGTAATTTTATATCTAATATCAATAGAGAAACAATGGTAGGACATTTAAATACATATGTACACGAGAAATCAATTAATTCGCTGTGTTTTTTGTCGTTTCCGACAATTGTTTCGACTTCATCCGGAAGCCTTCTTCAGGAGGCGTACGGTGCTTTGAGCCACAGCGTTTCGTCTCGTCTAAAAAAATAAAAATAATGTTGGGACACTTGATACGACACGACGAACTTATGAACATTATAATAGAAGGTAAGATAGAAGGAACGAGGGGAAGAGGGAGACCAAGGCATAGTTACACCAGGCAGATCAAGAACAAAGTTGACGTCGTGTCGTATCAAGAGGTGAAGGGACTCGCTGGAAATCGTAGTGAGTGGCAAGAGCTCCACCGACAAGAGCGCAGCTCTTTAATAGGAATGAATGATTCTAATACTACTGTATTACACTCCACTAGCTACGATATCAGTTCTTGTCGCCTTATACATAAGACTCAAAATCATTTATACAATTTCAACATACTATTTGCATGGCCTGTGTAGGCTTTTTACACTATCAGTAATATGTGGCCATATCTATAAAATATAATTAAATGTTTTTAATATAAATTAATTATAAATATAATTTATTATATCATAAATAGGTATCTATTAAATGATTATATATCTATATAAAAAAATTTCCAAGAATATTTTTATTATGTGTTAAATCATACAGACATATTGATATTATATGTATGTATGAAAAATGAAATGATTTATTAAAAATCTATATAAGTATTTTATATTCCAGTAATTAAAGGGCAGATAATGGGAAAGTCTAATTCAGCAAGTCTAAAAATACATTACGTGTATGTACTGGAATACATCGTGATAACTAAGTAAAATTAAAACTGATTATGGCAACACTTGTAACTTATTTTTTTATTGAAATTCAGTTATTATCAATTATTGATAGTGTAAGAGTCTAAATGTAAACGATTTAGTGCTGAATGTTATAAATTTTTTTTTTTTTTTTATATATATGTAATTGACATTAATTCAGTATTTACTATTTTTTAGTGCTGATGTAAATATATTGAATGGAGTATGGGTCGGTGCGTTGAAACTTTGTGAACTCTACATGTGCTGTAGAAAAATTATTCCTATTAATATGTAATTGACAAATTTGTTAAAATAAACTATGATTTTGGACAAAAAAAAAAAAAAAAAAAAACTAAAAGCTGACAAGAAAAAAAGAAGACTCAGTTCACTTGTCAGTGCTCTGATAGAAATACAATTTTTATTATCCTACCTAAAATTTGTACAGTAACATATTGCTTCTGTCACATTTTTTTCAACGTATACTATCCACTTATTAAATGAGAACTACGTATCATCTATTCAAAGCAAATATTCTATTCTATTTTAATATCAATGAAGACTAGAAGCTTATAATTTATTTTGGAACATTTTAAATTGCCAATATCTAATGTAACTGATAAAAAATATGGACGATTTCTCTATGCTATTTATATTTTGTTTCATAGAATTATAAGTTAAAATAAATACACATTCCATTTACTAAATAGAATTTTATACATAAACCGCCTACGCTTTGATGCCCTTCATTGGATGTGTTCTCAGAAAATTGCATTAATTGTATCAATGAAACCGGAATGTGGAAGTTTATAATTATACTTAATGTCATATAATCTAGCCCCATAAAAATATCAGACGTGTAATACACCTGTTTTAGCTAACACATTGTTTCGACTATTTCTTTCGCGCTATATGGCAATACGAAAGAAAATGACAAAACATAGTTAGATAGGGTGTATATATGTTTCTATGAATAATGCGGTGAAATTATAACTTATTTACCTACTACCAATGTCTAAACACGAGTGCCTATATTTAATTTATATTTGCTTATATTTTGTGGGGTGAATAGAAATAGCGAAATGGTAAAGAAAGTTTATTGCACCAAAGATAGAAACAGCGAGGCTTCCGGCGTTTCCTGATTAGCGTGTATCAAGGAGCGTGTATTGGGCTCAGGTTTTAGGTATGGATATAATTGTTTGCTACATTATTTGTGTGTGTTTTTAGCACCAATAATATGACAAACAAATGTGAAAGAGAGAATAGAAAAGGATAGTTGATTAGAAATATTATGAAAAATATTATATACATTAGGGATAAATATGATAGGTTTACTTACGCAGTCAATCGTATTATTTAAGTAAATTCGGTTTCGTATCGGCAAGCTTGATTGATAAAAAAGTAGAAGACGTTAAGGATATTAGTCCCTCTAGACAAGTGCCAAAGGAATCTATCGATAGAATCGTTATCGATGGGAATCTACAAGATAGAAAGCGAGGGCGAATCTAGTGTCTTGTTCTTTCTCATTTAAGCGGTAACTGAAACGAACCTATTGGTAGATTTGATAGCGATCCGTTTAGGGGGACTGGGTAGAAGTAAGAGGCGATTTGTGTGTTTCTATTCACCCCCCAAAATAAAGGCGCGAGATTGTATATAGTAAAGAATACTTTAGCGTCGTTTTCTATTAACACCACGATAAAAATAGTAGTTTTTATTTGGAATTATTTCAGTATGTTGCTTGTTATTATTTAAATAAACGCTTTGGCCAATTTACTTAGCAATATTATCATAAAAAAACCATAAGCAATAAATGTATATAAATTGTTTAAGGGTTGCTCTCGTAGTAGAGCTGTGGTTTACAATATTATGCCTATAGTATATGTGTATACGTAGCAACAGAGCCTTACTAAGTCACTAAGGTGCGCAATAAAGATGTACTAACTACGATAGGCTTAGAATATTCAATATGCTAGATGAAACATGGAACATGGTAAATATTATAATAATTAGCTGTGATCGGTCGATCTTTATGTAGCTGTTAGAGAAAGTTAAGCATTTCGATCGTGCCCCCCGTGTTGAATATTCTAAGGCGGTAGTTTTATTTTTTCGTTTCAATTTAAATGTAAAAATTAAATACACGCAATATGCCCCAGTAACATTTATACAAGACGTATTGTAATTTGGTACAGAATTGATGTTTTTTGATTTTACAAATCAGTTTTTTTTGTCGTCTATTAAATATTTATTATATTGAAAATCAACGTGAAAATAAATGAAACGAATAATTGACAGTTTTGAATTTAGTCCAGTGTGTTTGTTTGTATTTGCTAATAAGGATAGAATCATGAACAAATCAAAATATTAATCGTAATTACTTGTTAATTTCCAAACTAGTGTTCGAGCTATTTAACCTTCGTTGATTAAATGATATGTTCAGGTTTTATCTTATGATTTTTTTTAAAGTACCTGTTTGATAAATTACAAATGTAATTTTTATTTTATAATACACTATAAAAAAAAAAAAAAAAACATAGATTTTTAACATTATTTCAACTTATAGTCGACGACTATTTTATACCGGAATTCATACTATGTCTGTAATAATAAGTCACTAGTAACACACAGGATAGTTGGATAAAGCGGGTAATTTAAAATCGAATTTGATTTACATCACGCCTTTATAATAGAAGTAAATGTTGGCTTAATTTTTTTTCTGTTTAATAAAGTCCGTGAATAGAATGGGAAGCTCTTAAAATATGTTCAGTGTTTAGAAAGAATAATTTAAAATTTTTGCGCTTAGCGTTTGGTCTGGTTTGGTCTTTATATGCTTTATCAAATAAAATGCATTAAAGTCAATTTTTATGTCAATCCTTACTGTAATATGATTAAGTGTACGTGAATTTTTTTTTTACCTTTTGACACCTTAAAGGCTTAATCCAGTGTTTTTCAAAGTGTGGGTCGCGATCCCTTGTAGAGTCCCCGAGCCTCTACAAGGGGGTCGCGGAATGTCGCGAAGCAGTGAAAAATCAACAGTTCCGTAAATACATCAATCAATTAATAATACATAATGAAGTATGTATAACAGACATCGATTAGATGTTTGTTTTAGATACTTTATTATGTATTATTTATTTTATTTGTTTAAATCGAAGCATTTGGCGTTCCATTGTTTCTGGACCTACCCTAATGGGAGACAGGCGTGACAGATATGTATGTATTATTTATTTTATTTTATCGATACCTAACTGTGAATATAAATATAACTGTACGGATTTCATAATTGTACTATAACTACTATATAATAAAATTCATACATATTCGAAACCGTGGATGGTAGTGGGTAGATATTTTTACATAATAATGGGGTCGCGTTATGAAAAATATTGAAAAACACTGGCTTAATCGATTGTCATGAAATTTCGAATACACGCAGTATTTGGGATAGAGGAGGACATAGCGACCACAATTGTAAGAATTCAGCTCATTTCACTAGGCGTTGCTTCTGCATCATATCGTCATAGTCGTAGAATACTGACGGATCTGACAAATATTTATTTATTTATTCATTAGTACAAATATGTGTACATGGCGGACTTAATGCTAAAAGCATTCTCTCCCAGTCAACCATAGGGAAGTGTCAGAATACTCGAATGCGGTACTACTAATTATTGATATACATACATACTAAAATTACATATATAAACGAATAAATATATATGAATAACAAATATACTTACACATATATGATATATACTATATTATACACGAATTTGGGAATAATATAAAGTACTTACTGCTCGGATAAAGATAAAAAGTGAGCGTGAACGTTTTTTTTGAAAGACGGTTTAGTCGGTACTCTCTTAATGGCATCAGGAAGCGTATTATAAAATATTACATATAAAGATCCGTCGGTATTCTACGAATATGACGATATATTTATTTTAAGTTGGAAATAAAAAAAAGGGTCAATGGCTGCAGAGTGTTTAATTATAAAATTGAATTTTCAAATTGCACTTTTTGTCTGTTATATATATGTTTTTGTCTCTTTTTTGAGTAAGCATTTTGGATGTTATGACAGTGGAAAACATTGATTGAACAGTGATCGGTTATGTATCGAACCAAGTGATGTTATGGTGACGGTAATGACGGTATTGTAACTTGTTCACGGAAAATATAATACTGAAAGTGGCTGGTATAGTTTGACAACTTTGTGCGCGGCGCTTTTTTTAATGGACGAAAATGGTAACACCGCCTGTGTTAACGATACACGTTGGTGGTGCACTAGTGAGGGATGTTTTTTTTTAATTGATGATAATGGAATGGTTATCCCGCCTGCGCTAACGGTATTCGCTGGCGGGACACCAGTGAGGGGTGATAGGTGAGAATGAAAAGGTAGGTCAGTTGGCCCATCGTGATGAATACAACAGGAATTCAGCACGATGGTTTCCAAGGGGGAACACGTGGAGGTCGACCTTATGGGGCATGTTGATATTAATGGGACTAATAGTCCGCATTACTAACCATGGACATAACAGAGTATACCGTTTCACCCATGATACCCTCCATGCGTTGCTATTCCTGAGGAATCAGGTATTATTCCTCTGTACCCTGTAAATTCACGCCATATCCCACCCTTCAAACCGAAACGCAGCCATGCAAACACAACAGCTTCACGGTTGAAACACGAATGGGACAGAGGTACCCAAGCAATCGACTTTTGTACAGTCTCCCTCTGGTAAAATGAAGAGGTAGGTCATTTATACCATCATAATATACTAGGAAATAAATATAATGGTTTCCAGGAGGGGGACTGTAAGGAGGTCGACCTAACAGGGTATATTGCTAGCAATTAGCCTAGTAAACTCCATTACGATTAATCTTTTCTTCTTCACTGCGGCGTCCATGTGGTGATCAATAGAGATCGTAATAATCCAGGGGGTCTACCATGCAATGTAAGTTCGGATTTTCGGCCTAAATTTCGTATTTTCGTTCGATACCGAAATCAGCCCAGTAAACGTAGCTTAATATTTTGTTAATCATAAATCCTACTATAATAATCCGGGGGAAAGGGATTGTTGGCAGGGTATATTGCTAGCAATGGGACTGGTAGTCCCCATTACTAATAATCCCCCCCCCCCCCCCCCCCCCCCAACGCGTACGAACTTGTCAAGCTATATCCATGCACTAAGTACAGTAGGATTACGTTGATAGGTGTAAGAGAACACCCAAAATGGACAAGGACAAGGATTACTTATCGTGTATTTATTTACTAAATATTATTTTTTGCGTCCTGTAAACTTATATTGATTTATTTTGATTGTATAAGTCTGCTTTTTGCTTAGTATAAAGAAGATATTTTCATATTCGAGCTCATTGTATATAAAATATTAGTGTAAGTTGTAAAAAATTGCTATATATATATATATATATATATATATATATATATATATATATATATATAGAGAGAGAGAGAGAGAGAGAGAGAGAGAGAGAGAGAGAGAGAGAGAGAGAGAGAATTGGTTAATTTACGTTTATCCATTTCTTTTTGCTTTTAAATTGCTCTTGAAGACTATATATATATATATATATATATATATATATATATATATATATATATATATTGATATTAATAAATTGACAGAAAAATATATATGTATTATAAAGAGGGTGTCCATGTGATGGACTGGGAATTTGTAAAATGAAACTATTATGTAAGTTGGCAATTGTTTACACCCTGTATTTAATTAGATTTATTTATAATTATGATTATGATATAAAGTCAATAGGTTATGTTAATTTTACTTTCTCCTAGTTATTCCGTAGTGTTGAAACGAATGTGTCCGTACTGTGTGCGTTTTGGCCTCTTTATAGTTTTAGTCGCTGTCGCCATTTGGAGGAATGCAGTTTTGCGATTTAAAAATAGAACGAACGATCTCGTTCACCTTGTCTATGGAATGTAAATTCATACATTAATATTCTAAATTTAATTTCCGTATTATGGAACTATGAAATAACATATTCTATTTGTTAAAAAACAAAGCAATAAAACAAAATCTGCAGTATAGGTGTTTCAGTATACAATACAATTTAATACATTGGCATCAACTTCACGCCAACTCCATCTCGGAATAGGTAGAGAGATATTAGAAATTTTGTGTTCGTATTAAATAACAGACGCTACAAATTTTAATATTAGCGGCGAGTAATATATAGAAATACCTATATATTTAAGTTTTTTTTTGATGGGTGAAAATGGAATAGTAACTCCGCCTGCGCTAACGGGATACGCTGGGGGAAAGGGATTGTTAGTAATGGAGACTGAGAATCCCATTGCTAGCAATATGCCCAACCAGGTCGACCACCTCGCGGTATCCCCTGGAAACTATCACGGTTAATTCCTGATGAATTCATCATGATGGGCTAACTGGCCTGTTTTCATTCTCATCGATCACCCTTCACTGGTGCTCCGCCAGCGTATCCCGTTAGCGCAGGCGGGGTTACTATTCCATTTTCACCCATCAAAAAAAAAACGGGATACGGATTACTAACAATCCCTTTCTATATATATATATACATATACATATACATATATATATATATATACTGGTCTAATAACAAATATGTTAAAAGTCTGTTATCCAAAAATAATATCTGAAAATACCGGTATGGAGCGAGATGGAGACGGTATCCATATCATCCATGCCTAGATTTTTTTTTGTGGAACACAATTATAGACGGAAATGTTGTGTATTCGTAGCTAAACATTATAAAGAGTGCCAGAACGAGACACAACGATAAGCACCTTGCTCTTTCTTACTGTTTAATACAAAGAAATATTAGATTTAAGACTGCGACAAGTGCGTTTTAACGTTTATGGGACCCTACGCAGGTCATTCAACTTATTTTTTTTTTAATAATCAATTGTGAGTTTTTTTTTTATTATTTATTATTTAAAATTTGTTATTAACATAAATATCGATCATTAATAAACGAGATTACAGTCACTATACGTGTAAAGAAATATATTTTTTTTAATTCGAATAAATTTAAATTCGAAAACATTTTTGGATGTTATTTTTTTCTTTAGTTTCTTATTTATTCGGAATGCAATTTTAGTTAAAAAGGACGGGTGAGAAAGCTGTTGCTTTTTTTTTTATAAATTTAAGTAAAAATAAGGTTATGTAATGTAATTTTTAATTTTTTGTAAATATGACCAGAAGAAATTATGTTTCTATAATAATTAGTAAAGAAAACAATATAAAGGAAATAATAATGTTTTCGGAATTCACTTTTTGTCTTGTTTTTGAACGCTGATTCTGAATCTTATTATTACTGATCGAAAGTCGAAAATTGATTATTTATATTTATTAATAATTAATTTTTGAATAAATAATTACTTTAAATACTTGCTTTATTGGAGTTACACGCGATTATTTCACGTGGTAATTTATTAAAAATAAATCTTAAATGATTGATAAATATTTTAATTTTATTCTATATAAATAAACATATTAGGAGATTTTATTATATAAGTTTGTAAGCACTATTATATCATTATATTTGGTAGCATATTCAGCTGGAAAGATGGTTAGAAACTGGACTGATGAAACAAAAGTAGAGGGTTTTTAATGGGTGGTAATGGAACGGTTACCCCGCCCGCGCTATCGGTGGCGGGGCACCAGTGAGGGACGATAGGTGACGATGAAAGCAGATCAGTTAGCCCATCGTGATAAATTCCACTATTAACCGCGATGCTTTCAAGAGGGAACCGCGTGGAGGTAGACCTGACAGATGGTATATTGCTAGCAATGGGTCGGTTAGACCCCATTACTAACAATCCCTTTCCCCCGAGTAACAAAATTAGGGTTTGATAAGTTTTTTTTTGTTTTATGGTTATAAGA